GTATATATATATAGTGGGGAGAACAAGTATTTGATACACTGTCGATTTTGCAGGTTTTCCTACTTATAAAGCATGTAGAGGTCTGTAATTTTTATAATAGGTACACTTCAACTGTGAGAGACGGAATCTAAAACAAAAATCCAGAAAATCACATTGTATGATTTTTAAGTAATTAATTAGCATTTTATTGCATGACATAAGTATTTGATCACCTACCAACCAGTAAGAATTCCGGCTCTCACAGACCTGTTAGTTTTTCTTTAAGAAGCCGTCCTGTTCTCCATTCATTACCTGTATTAACTGCACCTGTTTGAACTCGTTACCTGTATAAAAGACACCTGTCCACACACTCAATCAAACAGACTCCAACCTCTCCGCAATGGCCAAGACCAGAGAGCTGTGTAAGGACATCAGGGATAAAATTATAGACCTGCACAATAGGCAAGCAGCTTGGTGAGAAGGCAACAACTGTTGGCGCAATTATTAGAAAATTGAAGAAGTTCAAGATGACGGTCATTCACCCTTGGTCTGGGGCTCCATGCAAGATCTCACCTCGTGGTCAATGATCATGAGGAAGGTGAGGGATCAGCCCAGAACTACACGGCAGGTCCTGGTCAATGACCTGAAGAGAGCTGGGACCACAGTCTCAAAGAAAACCATTAGTAACACACTACGCCGTCATGGATTAAAATCCTGCAGCGCACGCAAGGTCCCCCTGCTCAAGCCAGCGCATGTCCAGGCCCGTCTGAAGTTTGCCAATGACCATCTGGAGGATCCAGAAGAGGAATGGGAGAAGGTCATGTGGTCTGATGAGACAAAAATAGAGCTTTTTGTTCTAAACTCCTTCGCCGTGTTTGGAGGAAGAAGAAGGATGAGTACAACCCCAAGAACACCATCCCAACCGTGAAGCATGGAGGTGGAAACATCATTCTTTGGGGATGCTTTTCTGCAAAGGGGACAGGACGACTGCATCGTATTGAGGGGAGGATGGATGGGGCCATGTATCGTGAGATCTTGGCCAACAACCTCCTTCCCTCAGTAAGAGCATTGAAGATGGGTCGTGGCTGGGTCTTCCAGCATGACAACGACCCGAAAAACACAGCCAGGGCAACTAAGGAGTGGCTCCGTAAGAAGCATCTCAAGGTCCTGGAGTGGCCTAGCCAGTCTCCAGACCTGAACCCAATAGAAAATCTTTGGAGGGAGCTGAAAGTCGGTATTGCCCAGCGACAGCCCCGAAACCTGAAGGATCTGGAGAGGTCTGTATGGAGGAGTGGGCCAAAATCCCTGCTGCAGTGTGTGCAAACCTGGTTAAGACCTACAGGAAACGTATGACCTCTGTAATTGCAAACAAAGGTTTCTGTACCAAATATTAAGTTCTGCTTTTCTGATGTATCAAATACTTATGTCATGCAATAAAATGCAAATTAATTACTTAAAAATCACACAATGTGATTTTCTGGATTTTTGTTTTAGATTCTGTCTCTCACAGTTGAAGTGTACCTATGATAAAAATTACAGACCTCTACATGCTTTGTAAGTAGGAAAACCTGCAAAATCGACAGTGTATCAAATACTTGTTCTCCCCACTGTATATAAAAATTTCATCAATCTACACACAACACCCCATAATGACAAGCAAAACAAGGTTTTTAGACATTTTTGCAAATGTAAATAAATAATAATATGGAAATATCACATTTACATAAGTATTCAGACCCTTTACTCGATTCAGCCTTGAGTCTTCATGGGATGAAGACTTTACCCCGGAGCTGAATAATATGGCAGAGGTAGAATATTTTTGCCTTGGCTACAAGCGTGGAATTTCTCCCATTCTTCTCTACAGATCCTCTCAAGCTCTGTCAGGTTGGATGGGGAGTTTTGCTGCACAGCTATTTTCAGGTCTTTCCAGAGATATTAGATCGGGTTCAAGTCCGGGCTCTGGCTGGGCCACTCAAGGACATTCAGAGACTTGTCCTAAAGCCATTCCTGCGTTGTCTTGGCTGTGCTTTCTTAAGGTCGTTGTCTAGTTGGAAGATGAACCGTCGCCCCAGTCTGAGGTCCTGAGCGCTCTGGAGCAGGTTTTCATCAAGGATCTCTCTGTACTTTGCTCTGTTTATCTTTCCCTCAAGCCTGACTAGTCTCCCAGTCCCTGCCGCTGAAAAACATCCCCACAGCATGTTGCTGCCACCACCATGCTTCACCATAGGGAGGGTGCCAGGTTTCATCCAGACGTGACGCTTGGCATTCAGGCCAAAGAGTTCAATCTTGGTTTCATCAGACCAGAAAATGTTGTTTCTCATGGTCTAAGAGTCTTTAGGTGCCTTTTGGCAAACTCCAAGCGGGCTGTCATGTGCCTTTTACTGAGGAGTGGCTTCTGTCTGGCCACTCTACCATAAAGGCCTGATTGGTGGAGTGCTGCAGAGATGGTTGTCCTTTCTGGAAGGTTCTCCCATCTCCATAGTGGAACTGGAGCTCTGTCAGAGTGACCATCGTGTTCTTGGTCACCTCCCTGACCAAGGTCCTTCTCCCCCGATTGCTCAGTTTGGCCGGGCGGCCAGCTCTAGGAAGAGTCTTGTTGGTTCCAAACTTCTTCCATTTAAGTATGATGGAGGCCACTGTGTTCTTGGGGACCTTCAATGCTGCAGAAATGTTTTAGTACCCTTCCCCAGATCTTTGCCTCGACACAATCCTGTCTTGGAGCTCTACGGACAATTCCTTTGACCTCATGGCTTGGTTTTTGCTCTGACATGCACTGTCAACTGTGGGACCTTATATAGACAGGTGTGTGCCTTTCCATATCATGTCCAATCAATTGAATTTACCACAGGTGGACTACAATGAAGTTGTAGAAACATCTCAAGGATGATCAATGGAAAGAGGATGCACCTGGCTCAATTTCGAGTCTCATAGTGAAGGGTCTGAATACTTACGTAAATAAGGTATTTCTGTTTTTTATTTTTAATAAATGTGCAAAAATGTCTAAAAACCTGTTTTCGCTTTGTCTTTATGGTGTAGTGTGTGTAGATTGATGAGGGAAAAAATGCATTAAATCCCTTTTAGAATAAGGCTGTAACTTAGTGGTTTGAATACTTTCCGAATGCACTGTATATCGATGTGTGCCTCATCTCAGAATCTCCACTGTGTGCTCAATATCAATCGCGTCTATACGCTACTTAGTGTGGTCTCAATCAAATGATCCATAGCCTATTGGCTATAGGCTACGAAGTACACGCTTGGAGAAACACAGAGCAAAGTTATATTTCTAAGATAGCTACCGGCATGGTGTAAATAAAACTAGGCTGCATTACACACAGCAATTTATATTCTAATCCTAAACCCCAGCCTGCTCTGCTCCTGCTGATCAAAAAAGTGTTTGTGTGCTGCTTCACAGTTGAAGAGTCAAAGGTTTCTTCCGAAAATAGTTTTTGATTAGACCTAGTCCAAAAAAGCTTATAGCCTATGTTCTGTTCAGTTTGAGGAGAGCGCGAAGATGAGAAGGAGGACCGGAGGTCAACTTTGATAGCTTGCTACTACTATAATTGAATGTATTAAAAAATATATGTTTCTTGCCCATGATGTATTTATTACAGTTATTGACCCCACAATAAGCCAGATTCTTACATTGTGGTTCTGAAACTTGAAGCAGTAGACCCACCACAATCATTCGGAAATGGACAGCTTGTGGTGCAAATCCGAGTAGGCATAATTCATTTCAATCATTTTAATTAGACTTTACTAACAACAAGAAGGCTTTGTATTTCTTCCTATTTACGAAATAAGAGGTAGACCTGCCTGTTTGACAGACAAAATTAGGCTATAGATTTGTCGGTCAATTCCTCCACCTACAATGCACTCTTTAAATAGCCTACCTCCAAACAAGCTGTAAAATACCCGGGAAAGACTCCGATGCATATGGGGATTTCATTGTTTCGTTTCTTTGACATTCAGAGGCTGACTTTGCTCGGGAAGTAATTTAATTCTGTCACTATCAATTGATTAATGTGATAAAATGTCATTTAGTATTGTAGTGTATTGAAATGTGCTCAAACAAAGCTTATTTTCAATTTCATAGCCAAGGGAATTTACAAATCACTGGAATAGACCAAATCAATGTTGTTGGTGAAGCACATGTCAAAAACCACCAATGGTGGCCTAGACACTGGCCTAGACACTGATCTAGGATCAGTTATTTCCCCCGACTAATGGCTAAGGTTAGGATTTGGAAAGGGGAAGCTGATCCTAGATCTGTACCTAGGGGAAACTTCACCCCGGAGCTGAATAATATGGCAGAGGTAGAACATTTTTCCCTTGGCTAGCAAATCCAGGGTGTTGGAATGTTTTGGGGGATGAAAGTTCAATATGAGCTGTTTTGAAGCAGTGGGAAAATTGCCTTGCACGACCCTTTATTGAATAAAAGGGTTGATTTGCCTAGCAATTTCACTGCAGTGAAGTGCTGGCTGTCTTCCTCCTTTTGTGAGCAGAATGACCACCTCAAATGCAGAGGCTTACTTTTACTTGAATATGGAGCACAAATGATGTCTGAGCAGGACTTGTTGTTGTGCTGTCTCCCTTTCACACCCTCTCTGGTATACACTCGCTGGATTCACACGCTTACTGATTCACACACACACACAGCCATGTAACCTTGTGCAAAAGCTGTACTTCCTTATTGACTGGTGTACTGAATTTAGCCTTCTTCTTGGGTATTTATTGAGGCAATAAGTAGACAATATGATTTGGAAACTTTTATTGAACTATCATCCTGCACATGTTCATAGCGACGACATATAAACAACATTGAAAGATTGTTGCGAAACATCACCATTATAAATCATAGGATTCATTCCATCATTAACTCATCATTCCCCAGTCCTCCGAGAGCAGGTCCAGACCCGTCTTCACTGTTCACATACAGGCAGACTTGCTCAGAGTAGGGTGAAGTTGCCCCATGACGCTGATCTTGGGTCAGTTTTGCATTTCCTCCACTAATAGTTAAGGTTAGGATTGGGGAAGGGGAAGCTGATACTAGATCTGTACCTAGGGGAAACGTCACCCCGGACCTGTATGTTTACCATCCTCTTTCTTCCTATGGTACAACTCATAGTTTTACAAAGTTTTCCTAGCCTGGTCCCAGATTTGTTTGTGCCGTCTCGCCATGTCCTAAGGTCATTGCCACATGAAAGAATTGGCAAGACAGCACAAACATATCTGGGACTAAGCTACAATTTTCCCTCCTTTGCCTTGTAGAAATAAGGTAGGGAAGAGCACTAGCCTGTAGGAAAGCCAGCTAACAGGCATCTCTACCAGAGAGATGGTACAACAAAGATCCACATCTTCAAATAAAGTTAGGTACTTTGTCCCCTCACTCATATTCATTGCCATAAAATATGAGTCAAATACAACTAAAGTGGTTTTCACCCCCGAAACGCTGATCAGTTGGATTGACCCACACCCCCACATGAAATGGTCAAAAGTCGATCAGTCCACACAGTCATTTTAAGTGAGTCAGAGGTTTTCACCCCCCGAAACGCCAATCAGTTGAATTGACCCAATCACTTCCATAAGAAAAGGTCAAAGTGGTCCAGTCCACATGCAGTCATTTTAAGTGATCCAGAGGTTCGAAAAGGCAATACGTACAGTCTCATATTTCCCTGCTAGTACACTGCATAAGCATAATCCATGATGTGCTCCTTCAAAATGGCAAGTAGCCTGGTCAAGATTCTCCATTTTGTCTGCAAGTCATTTGCGATTGCAGCCCGGATACGGAGGGGGAGGGGAGTAGCTGTCTGTCCTGGGTGGGGTGGGGGTGTAGGGAGGGGGGCGCACGGCCGAAGGGTACATCTCATAGTCATAGGTGTAGGGAGGTGGGGGTCCTGGAGAGAGAGAGAGAGACAGACACAGAGAGAAAATGGTTAGTTTGTTATTATTAGTTGCTGGATAAATAAAGATTATGCCAATACACACATACAACATAAAAGTACAACAGACCCTGCCATGTCATTGTTTCTGTTTTGATGGGGCTGTAGAAACCAGTGGAAGCTGCTGAGGGGAGGACGGCTCATAGTAATGGCTGGAATGGAGTCAATCAGAGGAGGCTGGTGGGAGGAGCTATAGGAGGACAGGCTCATTGTAATGGCTGGAATGGAATTTTTGGAACGGTATTAAACACATAAAATAAAAATAAAAATAACATATGGAAACCACGTTTGACTCCGTTCCATTCATTCCATTTAAGCTATTACAGTGAGTCCATCCTCCTATAGCTCCTCCCACCAGCCTCCACTGGAGTCAATGGAATGGTATCAACCAATGGAAACCACATGTTCGATACCATTCTATTGACTCCATTCCAGCCATTATTATGAGCCATTCTCCCCTCAGTAGCCTCCACTGGTAGAAACATTCTAGACTTCAGTATGTATTGGTCATTGGTGGAGGAGCAATGTCCTCTAGTGGTGGAATCACTGCACTGCAGGGAAACGGGTAAATTGAAGGCTGGGTAATTTTCTGTTCAGCCAGTTAGTGGAGGAGCAGTGGTTAAGGCCTGAATTCATAAAGCGTCTCAGAGTAGGAGTGCTGATCTAGGATCAGTTTGCCCTTTTAGACCATAATGAATAAGATTAGGACATACGCACCAAGCAGTGTCTGAGGAAGGCCTGAAAAATTACCAAAGACTCCAGCCACCCCTGTTTTCTCTGCTTCCGTCCGGCAGGCGGTACCAGAGTATCAGGTCTCGGACAAACAGGCTCCGAGACAGCTTATACCCCCAAGCAATGAGACTTCTACACAGATAGATAATAGCTGCCCACCCTCACCAAGGACTATATGTGCTGACTATATGCACACTCACAGGTCTCTCCCACACACTCACACACTTTTGCACACACACACTAACAACCACATACACACTCACCATCATGCACACACCCACCCACCACTTATGCTGTTGCTATATTGTTTATTATTATTATTATTATTATTATTATTATTTATCCTGCTACCAGTCACTTTCTCGTAATCCCTGCCTACATCTACAGTGAGGGAAAAAAGTATTTGATCCCCTGCTGATTTTGTACGTTTGCCCACTGACAAAGACATGATCAGTCTATAATTTTAATGGTAGGTTTATTTGAACAGTGAGAGACAGAATAACAACAACAAAAATCCAGAAAAACGCATGTCAAAAATGTTATATATTGATTTGCATTTTAATGAGGGAAATAAGTATTTGACCCCTCTGCAAAACATGACTTAGTACTTGGTGGCAAAACCCTTGTTGGCAATCACAGAGGTCAGATGTTTCTTGTAGTTGGCCACCAGGTTTGCACACATCTCAGGAGGGATTTTGTCCCACTCCTCTTTGCAGATCTTCTCCAAGTCATTAAGGTTTCGAGGCTGACGTTTGGCAACTCAAACCTTCATCTCCCTCCACAGATGTTCTATGGGATTAAGGTCTGGAGACTGGCTAGGCCACTCCAAGACACTCCAGGACCTTAATGTGTTTCTTCTTGAGCCACTCCTTTGTTGCCTTGGCCATGTGTTTTGGGTCATTGTCATGCTGGAATACCCATCCACGACCCATTTTCAATGCCCTGGCTGAGGGAAGTAGGTTCTCACCCAAGATTTGACGGTACATGGCCCCGTCCATCGTCCCTTTGATGCTGTGAAGTTGTCCTGTCCCCTTAGCAGAAAAACACCCCCAAAGCATAATGTTTCCACCTCCATGTTTGACGGTGGGGATGGTGTTCTTGGGGTCATAGGCAGCATTCCTCCTCCTCCAAACACGGCGAGTTGAGTTGATGCCAAAGAGCTCAATTTTGGTCTCATCTGACCACAACACTTTCACCCAGTTCTCCTCTGAATCATTCAGATGTTCATTGGCAAACTTCAGATGGGCATGTATATGTGCTTTCTTGAGCAGGGGGACCTTGCGGGTGCTGCAGGATTTCAGTCCTTCACGGCGTAGTGTGTTACCAATTGATTTCTTGGTGACTATGGTCCCAGCTGCCTTGAGATCATTGACAAGATCCTCCCGTGTAGTTCTGGGCTGATTCCTCACCGTTCTCATGATCATTGCAACTCCACGAGGTGAGATCTTGCATGGAGCCCCAGGCCGAGGGAGATTGACAGTTCTTTTGTGTTTCTTCCATTTGCGAAGAATCGCATCAACTGTTGTCACCTTCTCACCAAGCTGCTTGGCGATGGTCTTGTAGCCCATTCCATCCTTGTGTAGGTCTACAATCTTGTCCCTGACATCCTTGGAGAGCTCTTTGGTCTTGGCCATGGTGGAGAGTTTGGAATCTGATTGATTGATTGCTTCTGTGGACAGGTGTCTTTTATACAGGTAACAAACTGAGATTAGGAGCACTCCCTTTAAGAGTGTGCTCCTAATCTCAGCTCGTTACCTGTATAAAAGACACCTGGGAGCCAGAAATCTTTCTGATTGAAAGGGGGTCAAATACTTATTTCCCTCATTAAAATGCAAATTAATTTATAACATTTTTGACATGCGTTTTTCTGGATTATTTTGTTGTTATTCTGTCTCTCACTGTTCAAATAAACCTACCATTCAAATTATAGACTGATCATTTCTTTGTCAGTGGGCAAACGTACAAAATCAGCAGGGGATCAAATACTTTTTTCCCTCACTGTACATATCTACCTCAACTGATCCATTATCCCTGCACATTGTACATTTGGTACTGGCACTGACCATGTATATAGCTTACATTCTCTAGTGTTTTTTATTCCTTTCTTATTTCTCCTGTTTTAATTTTATTTTGATATTGAATACTGCACTGGGCTGGCAAGGTAGTAACCCTTTCCACTCACAGCCCCTGTCATGCTGTATACGGGTTGAAAATGGTAGATTTTGTCATTGATTAGCGCCTAAATTGGAACGTAGTGGCTGTACAGTAACCTGCTATACATGACATCAGAACTCAGGTTCTCCGCTTCACATCGCTGTATGGGTTTTGACTGAGCCGTTAAAAACTTGAGCACCGCGCGCGGCAAGAAGATGCCCCCCATCCCTCCCGCTAATTGGGCTACTTTTGCACATTTGTTGTTGTCTGAGTGAGGGAAATGCTGTAAATAGAGAGGAGTCGATGTGTTCTGAAAGATGAGACATTGAGGATTATAATAAATACTGCTTTGATGTCATACAAGCAAACCACACACGGGAGTCCTAATGTGCACTTCACATTTCCATATTTGAAAACTCATGTCATTTACAGTATCAACGTTTGTGATCGCTATGTTTGATCCACAGTTACAAGGATGACATGCGGTATACCCTGGGTTGTCCTGAACAGATTGAGCCTATGTTTGTCATATTGTGAAAAACATTAGCCGCGAGAACATGCACTTTATTAATTTAATTTTAAAACATACAATCTTCCTGCAGTGAAGCCTCTCAACATTTACATTACATTCAGTCATCTAGCAGACACTCCCATCCAGAGCGACCCACAGGAGCAATCAGGGTCAAGCGCCCCGCCCAAGGGCACAAGGACAGATCCCCCACCCAGTCGAATCGGGGACCCGAATTGGACCCCTCCAAGCCACCATCCCCCTCCAACCCAACCAAAGCCACCACCGACCCAATGCGCCAACAACCAACAAAAAGAACAAAAGACAAAAAAGACAAAACAAAGGAAAACAAGAACAGAAAACAACAATGCAAAAATAAAAGACATCAAAGACAACAAAAATCTAAACAGTAAGGCCGACTGTATGCGATTGTGTGCATGTGTGGCACTATTTACATGTGTGTATATGTGTGTGTCCGTGTGTGTGCACGTGTGTGCATTTGAATGCGAGTGTGTGTATGCATGTGCACGTGCGTACAAGCGCTTGCGTGGCATCAGCCTTAGGCAAACAGGCATTGGATGTAACAATGTTCCTTTTTAGTGTCAGTTAAACATGCACTTGAATGCACTAATGACTCCATTCTATACACACCAAAATTACAATCTGTTTGTCTGAAGTGCCTTTTGAAAGCCTAACACTGTAAGATCGTATTTTATAATTTAGCTAACGACAGGGCACACACTGGTTGAATCAACGTTGTTTCCACGTCATTTAAATGAAAGTAAAGTAAATGTAAGATGCACATAAAATCAACAGTGTAATGTTTGGAATCAGTCTTGTATAAGGTGAACTGTTTTGTCCTCACCTTTGGTCTGATAATTTCCCCATAATCTCCAAAGTGTTCTCTTTCAATTGCTACCATGCTCATGCATATGCTTTTTATAGTTTTATATTTGTCCTTATCCATATCGGCTAATTTCAACGAGTGTAATGGGTTAAAGGCCAAATGCAGTCAAAACATGTGATTTTCTTGTGTTTTATATATATTTCCACACTATGAGGTTGGAATAATACTGTGAAATTGTGAAAATTATGATAATGCCCTTTTAGTGTAAAGTATCTGGGATCTTTTATTTCAGCTCATGAAACATAGGACCAACACTTTACATGTAGTGTTCATATTTTTGTTCAGTGTAGTTAATAGACCAATAAGAAAGAGAGTTCCAAACCTCTCTGCCAATAACAGATCGTTTTCAGTTTTCCCCTCCCCACTCAGACCACTCCCAGACAGTCCTAGCAAAATTCTTGCTAAGAAGCTAATTTTGTTAATTTTTCGCCATTTCAATGGAAAACAATCACAGTAAGGTACTTAATTGTTACCCGGAAATTATTTGATATTGAGATAAAAATGGCTGCATTGGACTTTTAAGCATTTCACTGTACTTGTGCATGTGACAAATAAAACTTGAAACTATATGGACTCTGAGAGCTGACCTAGGATCAGTTTAGCCTTTTAGATCATAATGAAAAAGATTATATGGACAGGGGGGACCTGATCCTAGATCAGTCTTACCTGGGTAGCCCTGGGACACAGTGTTGATGTAGGAGGTGTTGAACACGTCCACCCGGGCCCCTCGCCCGTTCTTCACACACATGCACACACACAGGAAGAAGGCCGCCAGCGCTCCCATCAGAAACACCACACCAAACACGATGCCTGAGATCGCCGTGCCCCTAGAAAACGCACACACACACACACACATGCATGCACACACAAACACACGTTTGTCACTATGACTACATGCTCCCCTTTTCATTCTAGTTAGTGGCTACCAGGAAGTCATCTCATCCAATTCATCTTCTCACAAGTCAATTCTGCATGGAATTTCAATTCACCTCCCTACCTCTTTAAAGAGTATCTTAAATAAATCCCACGGCCACCCCTCCTCCCAAAAAGGCTACTTTGTTGAAAACTACTTTCTAAGATTGTGATATGTTGTTGTCTCACCTAGCTATCTTAAGATTAATGTATTAATGTAAGTCGCTCTGGATAACAGTGTCTGCTTAATTACTAAAAAATTGACCCCAAGCTTGGGTCATATTCACTAAACACCAAATGAAAGAAAACAGACTGAAACATGTGCAATAAGAAACATTTCAGTTTTCGTTGCGAAATGTTTTGCTACAGTGTGCTCTCTGTAGAGAAGCAGTGCATTTTGGGATAGGGCCATCCAGGACTGAGAAAAAAGTCTGGGAGCAGCTGCCTATAACACACACCGGACCAAACATGCCTGTGGCGCAACCATGGAGATCTGCTCAAACATCTGATTACATGACTCAGACCTGTGTGTGTGTGTGTGAGTATGTGTGTACATGTATGTGTCCTTTTGTTTGTGTGTGTGGTCAAAATCCATTTAAAAGGCTGTGGAGAAGCTGTAGAATGAGGAACCATTATTCCTCTCCATTACCTTATGACAACCATGGCCTTGAAAGAGCTACATTATATGGCTAGATAAAATGAGTCCACATTCAATGGGCCCAGTCAATAGCACTTTTTTGTGAAACCCCCACTTATGGTGTAAAAACTGTGAATTTGGGAATTTTAACTGTGACATTAATTAATGTTCCAGGTTTACACAATACTTTAATATCATTATTCTCTTCATTGGTGCACTGTAGCAGGTAGCATGTGTTATACTCCATAGGTAGTCTGGTGAGGAGGAGGATAGATAAAGTGAGAGGCCAGCTGTCTTGAGCCAAATGACGAAGGTCAAAGGTCAAATCTCTCAGAGGGGTCATTCACTGCATGTGGAAAGGACAGGTGGTGGAGTGGTAGAGAAGTGTTTGTGTGTGTTTATAGACTGAGGGTGACTGAACATGTGTGTATGTATAGAAGGTGACATTGTGTGTGTGTGTGTGAGCATGTGTGTGTGTGTGTACTTACGAGAGGACATCTCCCATATAGGCGTAGTAGGAGCAGCAGAAAGGGGGAGAGCCTTCACAGCAGTACTCCACACAGCCATCACACTGGGCCTCACTGTGACCTGCAGGAGAGATGCAATACATTATATAGAGACGCATACACACACCTACCTCTACTACGGACACATGCACACACTCACACGCACCCTGCTTCTAATTTGCTGAGAGAAAGGTAGAGTGTGCTCTTTGGAATCAAGATTTCCAAAACCCTTCGAAGGCCAAAATCAAAATGCTATTTTCATATTACAAAAGGTTAAAAACATAATGGAGAGCAGCTCTGGTAGATACACTTAAACTTAGTATTTTGCTTAATTGAACCTTTTCTAAATATGTAAATGTCACTAAGATCAAGGCTTTTTCAAGAGTATCTTAAGAGTTTTCGCCACAGTAAAAGAACCATATTGCACTTAAACTCACAAAACAATAATTAAGACATTTGATAAGTGGAAATATATAGTCCTTATAGAGGGTTTATGAAGGCTTTATTAAGCCTTAAAAGGTATTCATCCTGTAGAGTGGGACCTAAACCTAAACCGATAAGCACACAACACGACACATCAAAAGGGTAATAACAAGAAGATGAGTTGTGTGACAACAGGGCTATGTGAATGGAGATCATACAAGACATTTCAGAAAATATTTTCTTTATGTGAAAGTGTATACTTTTAGTCAACTACACTATTCACTAACTTCACCTCTGTGTTCTTTCTCTCTATACTAGTCTGAACCTGCAGATACCTCTCTCTCACCAAAGCTGTTCCCCTTTGTATACCCTGGTTTTCAGTGCTTTAGTTTGCCTTGGTTGGATGGGGAGTGTGTGTGTGTGTAAATCTTATGTGTGTGTGTGTGTTTATATATATGTGTGTGTGTGTGTGTGTGAGTGTAAAAAAAAGAAGACTCTTCTCTTTTCTCACTAGCACTGACTTTGCTGATAAATACTTTGTTGAGGGAAACTGTATTTGATACGATTGTGATGTGTTGTTGTCTCTCCTAGCTACAGTATCTTAAGATGAATGCACTCATTGTAAGTCGCTCTGGATAAGAGCATCTGCTAAATGACCAAAATGTAATCAAAAAATGTGTAAACCTGTGTGTGTGTGTGTATATGTGTGTGTAAACCTTCTGTGTACATACAGTACCAGTCAAAAGTTTGGACACACCTACTCATTCAAGGGTTAATTTTTACTATTTTTTACATTGTAGAATAATAGTGAAGACATCAAAACTATGAAATAACACATATGGAATCATGTAGTGCCCAAGAAGTGTTAAACAAATCAAAATATATTTTATATTTGAGATTCTTCAAATAGCCACCCTTTGCCTTGAGGTAGCTTAGTGGTTAAGAGCATTGTGCCAGTAACTGAAAGGTCGCTGGTTCTAATCCCCGAGCCGACTAGGTGAAAAATCTGTCGATGTGCCCTTGAGCAAGGCACTTAACCCTAATTGCTCCTGTAAGTCGCTAAATGACTAAAATGTAAATGTAATGACAGCTTTGCACACTCTTGGCATTCTCTCAACCATTTGAAGAATCTCAAATCTAAAATGTATTTTGATTTGTTTAACACTTTTTTGGTTACTACTTGATTCCATATGTGTTATTTCATATTTTTGATGTCTTCACTATTATTCTACAATGTAAAATGTTTTACAAAGAAAGAAAAAACCTTGAATGAGTAGGTGTGTCCAAACGTTTGACTGGTAGTGTATGTGAGCACGACAAAGATGAAGCACTGAAGGTTACAGCCACTCTGAAGCTTTAGAGAGTTGGTGGTGAGAGTCCTTCAGTAGAGACACATGGATGCGTGACAACTTGAAATGAAGGGGATGGCTCAGGGAGAGGGGTCTCAAAATGAGAAAGCACTTGAAATAAAGGATATTTGGAAACACTTCTTGTGGTTTTGTATTTGATTATTATTTATAGAGTATTTGAACGCACACGGTCTGTCTAAAGTTTGTGTGTCCTATATCTCAGTGTTTGCCCTCTTCAACCCCCACATAATTTAACCCAAACACAGGCCTGCTTTTTCTCAACCTTCAAGCATACTGCCACAAATTACTGGTGTGTGTGTGTGTGTGTGTGTTTGTGTGTGTGTTCAAGGATTTTCAGCTTCATTCCAGCTTTATTTTCACTTTGTTCAAAAGCTGGTGTATTTTCAACCCATCCCTCACAAACTGATGGCAGATTGTGTTTTCCAACCCCAAAAAGGTGTGTGTGGGCCTACAATAGCAGCCTTGAAACAGAGTACACCAAATGGCACTCTCTTCCCTATATACAGTAGTGCACTACTTTTGACCACAAGGCTCTGGTCAAAAGTAGTGCACTGTGTAGGGAATAGGGCGCCATTTGGGCTGCTAACATATTTCCCCCTGTGAAGTGTGGAGTGTAACTACTTTGATGTGCATGTCATCCAACGATGGGAGTCTATATGGGTGGTCCCTTGAGGTCTAGCTCCTTCCTGTCGCTCAATACGCTGGAGACAATGGCAGTATAGTTCTGCGACCAGTGCTGAGCAAGGCTTGTACCGTAACCCCCCCCCCCCCCCCCCCCCCCCGCCCCCCGCACACACAAGTTCGCACACACTTTTTACTTCTACTAGGACCGCTATGTAGGCTACGCAACTCTCTCAAATAGGCTTATGAATCAGGAAATGTTTGATTAAATGTAGATCGCTTCAGAGTAAATTAACCGTAGTATGTCTAAATTAATGATCGGCCACTTTAAAGCACGGATTTTTTTAACGTTGTGAAACCATCCATGCATTGGGTTGATGAGTTCACATTCACAATTAGCCTAATAAAAAAGGAACCCATTGTTAAATGCACACTTCTGCTGATAACTTTGAAATAATTTATGAGAAAATAAAACATTTGCGCACGTTGAAGACGATAAAGCATCCTAGAGAACCAGAACTAGAGCTTACCGGCAAAAAGACAAAGTAGGAGAGAGTCCCGTAGGATTTTCCACCCCGCTGCCTCCGTTCTTTCCATATCGACTGATAGCATAGGCCTACTTGTTCTAAATGTTGCGCACCGTTATCCCCAAACGATAACGTCCGCGTTTTCCATCGATATGCGCCCGCAAAGAAGACTATGGGATATAGTCTCTCACCGAAATATCGCTGATAAGCGTAATTCAATTGAGTTCTCTAAAAAGTTCCATCGAAGAGAGCCATGAACGCAAATTAATGGATCTTTGCTTCAGTCATAAACATGCTTAAAAACTCTCATTCGTTTCTTCTTCCAGGTGTTCGTATCTCTAAAAGTGTTTCCTTCACTCTTTCCTCGTTGTTTTCTTCTCTTCCTTTTTCCGCCTGGAGTGGCTCCTAGCGCTTCCCCTCCCCCGCAGCCGCTATTTTCTAAAATTACTCCGATGACTGGGTGGTAAAAGGGATAGAAGCATCTCAATAACATTCGCATCTCTCCGGCACAAAGAACGCTGACGCCCCCGCTATCACGACCACTTTGAAAATAAAATATATATATAGGTTTATGTCGTGTACACACACACCTCACGATCATTTTGAGAGGAAATGTACTTTTTTAGTCAGAAACCAAACGATATCCCCCCGCCACGCTCAATATGTCCTACAAAACATCCATGAACCTCTAAGGAGCACGAAGTTTATGTTTGATATAACTTATTTATAACTAAACTTCTTCATCTTGTAAAATGTAGGCTACGTGGGTTGCTCAAGTGTGTATGATTGAATGACCCCCTCTCAAACACCATCTTTAATCAACAATTTACCTTGTGTGACAGTCAGACATGGTTATGCCTTCATATAGGGCCACTCATTCTGAATAAAATACGAATTGTTTTTGGGAGAACAGTCCAGTATCTCTTTATTACGAATATCTATTCTAATGCTAATAAAGACAGAATAAGCGTGAATCGCTGGTTTTGCCATGAAGCATGAAAGGAGAGCTTGGCTATATAGATAAATTATATGAACACTAAAATGTAATGCATTAGTTCTCGTTGAAGTTTCCAATAGGTGCAGATCTAGGATCAGCTTCCCCACCCCCAATCATAACCTTAACCGTTAGTGGGGAAAATGCAAAACTGACCCACGACCATGACCTAGGGGCAACTTCACCCCTACACCTCAGAGTGGCATAGTGTCATTCTTATGACAGCTTTATTGCAGGAAGTGTAAAATTCAACTCCCACGTTACTATTCTGTTGGATCATATTTAACTTCATAGGGAACCGTGACCTTTTACAGAAATGCCACCCATAAATCTAATTCATAATTGCTCGCAGATGTCAGGGGTTTTAGGCAGTTTATTAATTGGGTGTGGGTTGGTGGGAGTTTTTGGTTTTGTCTTGCACCGGCAGGCAGAGATGGGAAAACTAAACAGAGGTACAACAATAGTGTAATTGTATTCTATAAAGTCCCAGTTCCCAAGGAAAGAAGCGTTTTCCATTGGCAACAACAGCAACACAACTGTGGTAGGCTAACTCGGTGGCAACTCCACAGTGCTTATGGGAAGAGCACAACATTTAATATATCTAGTCCTATACAGACTCTGGTGTAGTAGATTTTAAATGCTCTTTAAATAAATTGTAAGTCTGTCTTTTCAGTGGTTGAAATGGTCTATCACTGTAATGTGGACAAGTTAGCATTTAGCTTGAACGGTTTTGGCTTCTCTTTTCTTTTCCCTTCTTTTGCTCTTTTTTTCGTATAGTCTACATCAGCTAAACTTAGTGGGAATACAGATTCAGGAAATTATTTTTCTGTTCTGCAAACCTGTTGTTTACAGAATCTGCTGACACATTGAGTGCGTCTCAAATGGCACCCTATTCCCTTTGTAGTGCACTACTATTGATCAGAGCCATAAGGGCCCTAGTCAGTCCAAAGTAGTGCACTATATAGGGAATAGGGTGCCATTTGAGATGAGCCCATTATGGTGTTACCCAAATTACAGTGTTGTTGGAGTCTTCTTCTCCCATAATTACAGAGTAATGACTTCCTTTGAGTCTAGGCCCGTAATCACAAAGTGTCTCAGAGTAGGAGTGCTGATCTAGGATCTGGTCTCTGCTGTCTATATAATCGTATTCATTATGGACTAAAATGGTAAACTATCCTACATCAGGGGCCGTATTCATAAAGCTTCTCAGAATAAGAGTACTGATCTAGGATCAGGTTCCTGCTGTCTATGTTATCTATTCATTCATTCTAGACTAAAAGGCAAAACGGATACTACATCAGAGCCTGTATAGGAGTGCGGAGTAGGATTGCTGATCTAGGATCAGTTTTGCGTTTGAGATCATAATGAATAAGATTACATGGACAGGGGGGACTGATTTGAGATCAGGGGAAATCAGGAGGGGCCACTGAAACACTGCCATCCAGTGGATGATATGTGTATTACACAGTGTCTATAAGGAAGACATGATCAGACATATGAGTATATAAGGGGATTAGGTTTATTACACAACTCCCACCATATATTTGCTGACGAGGGCCATGCTTGTGAGTATGTTTGCACGTGTGTGAGTGTGTGTATGGATGGAATAGATTGAGGTGTGTGTGTATGGATGAGTGTTAGAATTCCAAGACACATCACACTCGTGACAACAGTATATAGGTCAACATGATACTTTATTCATAAACCTAGGACCATATATATAATACTGTATAAATACTCTATATACTCTACATCCTTCTGTTATTTCAATATAATAACAAATAAAAATACAACAATATTAATAAAAAGCAACAAGATTATATTTAACAGGCTGTACAAAAATAAATAATGTTTCGATATTCTGTACAAAACGTCTTCATAAAAAAAAAAACCTTCTCGGAAGGCAGGAGAGACTTACTTATGAAGTAGTAGCAGGAGAGAAGCCACACACACACACGCATGCGTTCGCTCGCTCACACACCTCTTTGGTCTAGGACGGGGCGGAGTGAAATGGCTTTGAAATTGGTTTTGTTCAGTCCGGGATGCATATTGAATAATACGTCTATTGGAATGAGTCTATTGGGAGATTCTACTGGAATGTTAGCAGCACATATCAACTTGTGCAGGAATGACCGAAGTTGATTGAAATTAACTGTATTGAGTTAGTTTGGTTGCATACAAAGTCGTATGGATTAGGAGGGACAATCCGGATTGTCTTTTGTTCCGCACCCTTTGAAACAGGAAGTGCCTCCAACCGATACAGGAAGTGGAATGTGTGGCATTTGTTTCTAATACATATACATACATCCTCACCCCAAGGTAGCCACTTCTGTACAGTGATACATCTGGCATATATAGTCCCCCGAAGATGTCTGTCCAGTCCAGCTAGGACAGACAGCCCACACACTCGCACACACACACACACACACACACACACACACACACACACACACACACACACACACACACACACACACACACACACACAAACAAACACAAGCATGTCATTGGCACCTAAAGCAGCATGCTTTTTTGAAAGAGAAGTGTCCATTTAAACTCTTCCTCCATCTCAGCTCCACTGACATGGGTGGGGGGTGGAGGGAGGAGGGCACAGTGTGCCTGCATTGTGCCCCCATGCCAGCCCAGCAGGCAGCTGCACCAAGTCTGTTTGGTGTTCTAGGGGTGGCAGTGCCACGGAGCAGACCCCAACAACACTAAAGTCTACCCTCAAAGTGGTTGGAGGGAGTTGAGAGAGAGGTTGTTGGCTCTGCAGTGTCAGTCAATCAGTCGGCCACTTTAGACCAATTGGACCCCCCGAAAACACCTACGAAAGCACTCTGCTTGGGACGTAAATATTCTCATTATAGGTCAATGTCTTTTCAGACGCAAAGTTCATGACGATATGGTTGTTTTAGTTTTTTCTTTCTTTCTTTCTTTCTTTCTTTCTTTCTTTCTTTCTTTCTTTCTTTCTTTCTTTCTTTCTTTCTTTCTTTCTTTTTTTCTTTCTTTCTTTCATGAGCTTTTCTTCAGGGACGTAATAATGAGGTGAGTCCCGACAGTCTTAGCAGGCACTCTGGTTGCACAAGTCCAGCAGTGGTCGAGGCCTGTCTTTGGGGTCGCAGCTCTCGTGGGCGAGCATATGCCCGTTGTGTCCCAAGCAGCGTAGCGGGCGTTTGCGGAACCCGCGGCCACAGCTCTTGGAGCACGCCGACCACTCCCCCAGGAACCATGAAGGGCAGGGGTGTGGGGCGCAGGGGCGTGACGCCAACGGGCGCAGCTCCTTCGGGCACTCCCGCGATGGCCGCCCCTGGGGATCCAGACACAGCACCTCCCTCTGTTGATTACCGCCCCCACAGCTCTGCGAGCATGGGCCCCACTCCCGCAGGGTCCATTCAGCGCCCACCAGCTCCTGGATGGCGTTGATGGACTGGCGGCGTGCCACCGTTCCGCCATTAGGTGACGCCAAAGCGGGTCTCGGGGCAAAGTAGCTGTATTTGACACGGGGGCGGGGTGAATCGCCTACAGACAACACCTGGATGGTCAGGGACTCAGGGAGGGGCGAGAAGCTGCGTAGACGCTCTAGGGAGGCGGAGCTACCGCTGTAACGTAGCAACGCCCCCTTGAGGGCGATGTCTGTTTCAAGAGTCATCAGCTTGTAGTCGCCGTTCAGCAGGTAGGTGCCATCCTGGCGCAACACTGCCAGGTAGCTGTTGTCATGGCGACCGCCGCCGGGGGCGCGTTGCTTCACGTCCAGGTGAGTGGCGCCAGCGGGGATGGTCACTATGTTCTGGTAACCAGGCCTGAGGGACAGAAACACACAAGGGTCAAACATAACCACGGGTAAAAATGATGCATAAGTGTAAGAGTAAGAGACTGGGTTAAAAAGAGATGGCAGGACTAAGAGGTTTAGAGTGATAGAGATAGATTCATTAGAGAAAAATACGATTCTACAGACAGTAGTAAAAGTTAGAAAAAGGGTTAAACTAGAAAACGGTGCTTTCTAGTCAAAGATGACTGTTTTGAGGTCATATGTCATTGTTCTCACCTGGCACGCTCAAGGGCACCTGACACTTTCTTGCAGGTGGAGCCGTTGCCTCCGCACACGGCGCACTTGTCGAAGCGACGGCTGGAGCCGATCACTCGGTCACAGCCCGCCTTCACACACTGGCCCTGCACACACACTGAGGTGGAGTCTGGGCTGCAGGGAGTACCGTCAGCCACCTGAGGGTAGCAGAGAAACAGATGTTAGCCTAGTTAGCCTAGACAGTGTTAGCCTAGTTAGCCCTGACAGTGATAGCCTAGTTATCCTAGACAGTGTTAGCATAAATTAGTTAGCATAGACAGCAGTAGCTTAGCCTAGTTAGCCTAGAGACAGTGTTAGCCTAGTTAGCCTAGACAGTATTAGCCTAGTTAGCCAAGACAGTGTTAGCTAGCCTAGTTAGCCTAGAGAGTGTTTGCCTTCATTTTTGTAAAAGTGTCTGTGGTGTGACCTGACTTACCTTGGGTTTCAGAATGAAGAAGTAGCCCGTGCCCTTGGCCCGACACACCAGCTTGCAGCGGTCTTTGGGCGAGACGCCGGCATATTTGGGAACCCACTCCACGCCCTCTCCCGAACCAAACGACATCTGTGACGAAATATCGTTGTGGGCCAGACACTGCTCCTCGCGGAATGACAGACCTGCAGAGAAAGAGGAATGAAGAGAGAGAGAGAGAGGTGTGATATTCACTGTTAGTTTAGCTTGAGCCGTATGTTTACTTTACAGTAGGCTGTGATATTCAAATATGGCTATTCTCGAACGTGTAGAAAGTATAGTATGGGTATAATATGCAGGTCAGTGGCCTATGTGCCTAAATAAGGATGTATAATATCAAAGTATAAATATATGAATATGTGTGTGTAATAAGAGTAATTAGTGTAATAGCTATGTAATAAGCATAAACTAAGTATGTAATAAGTGTGGCTAGTAGAGGCTCTTACCGTTGCTCTCAGGGCAGATCTCTGTGTTACAGGAGCGATATTGGATCCTCTTGCCCTCGCAGTACTTGCCCCCGTTTTTGGGCAGGGGGCTATCACAGTCCCTGAAGGAGTACTGCACCCCTCCGTCGCAGGTACGGGAGCAGTCCCCCCATGGTCCCCATACTCCCCAGGCACCGTTGACTGGAGTCTGCAACAGGAGAGGACACCATTGTCATTCATAGTCACCGACACTAGCCTATATAACACTTCAATAGTCCTATAAGTAGTCCTATAGCTAAAAAGCTAAGTTACACACACTTTAGCCCCTATAACATTTCAACACTCCTATAGCTAGCCTGATATTTAAAAAAAAGACATAACATTGGACCTAATCCAATGTAGCTAAGCCAATCACTAGCCAATCCCAAAACTGCATTATACTTCCTTTCCCCCCAATGGACCAATTCCATCACTCCCATTGACTTTAAGACTTTGTCATAGGGCCGTGTTATAACAGTGTTAACACCCACCTGGTGGCGAGCGGCCTCCGTCTTGCTCAGACACTGTCCCGCCAGGCAGAAGCTGTCATGGCCACACAGCGTCCCATCCGCCCACGGGAAGTTCTTGGTCTGACAGACCAGCAGCCCGTTGGTTGTGGTCACTGTGCACCAGAGCGCCGCACATGTGGTACTCAGGTCGGGACAGTGCTGTGACTCCTCGCCGAATGTCAGGCGACATTGGCGGTCGGCGTCATACACGGTTCCGGGTAGCGTGGCAGGCAACGGCTGGGGCTTATGGGGCTTGTCCAATAGGCATTGGCCGTGTCCGTTGTCCATGAAGGAGGTGACCATGAGGGCGGAGCAAGGCGACCATGGCTGGAGTTGGTCCAGGTTGGACAGGGTGGACGCCATCATGTGCGAGCCCCAATGGTCACCGTTGACGCTGGCACACTGCTTGGAATCGTCGTGGGGCATGTTGAACACATGGCCTAGAGCACGAAAGAGAGGGAGGAATGGAGGGAGGGAGAGAGGGGAGACAAGGGGTTAGTTTGGAACTGAGAGAGGAGATGTGGACTGTGTGTGACTAGCGACAGAGATGTGAATGTATGGTGCATATATGTCAGCTTGGCATCAGGGTGGCATCTTACCGAGTTCGTGTGCCACAGTGAAGGCCGCCTGCAGGCCGTCATCCTCAATGATGGAGCAGCTCCTTTCCGGGTCGCACACCGTGCCCACATCCGCCATGCCTAGCGTGTCACAGGAGTGGGCGCCGCACAGGTCCTACAGGGGATGAGAAGGGACAAAACACATCTGTCAAACTCACTGCATTCCCACATACACACACAGACACAAAACCCATATCATATAGCAGAACCCTGTTTCAAATCAAAAGTAGTGCACTATATAGTGAATAGGGTGCCATTTGGAACGCAACCTAAACCCTAGTAGTTGTGAAGTTGTTGCCTGTTACCACAGTAAGCACTGGTGTAAAAACATTGTGAAAACAGTGTAAAAATACAAAAGCAACATACCGTTCGGGTGAAGAGCACGGCCGTGTCGTAGTGCTCTGGGTGGCGGTCGCTGGGCGGGTTGTGCTGGCGCTGCCACTGGCAGAAGTTGCGGAGGGTCAGGGCAGCATTAGACGACACCTGGGGGCCGCTCTCCTCCTCATAGACCACCAGGAGCTTGACCACAGCTAGGCTGATGGAGTTGTGGATGGTGGGATGGCGGTAGAGGCGCGATGCCACCGCCATGATGGTCAGCAGGTAGGGCTTGAGGCCGGCACCATGGAACTCGGCCATGGACTGATCGGCCACGATCATGATCTCCACGAAGCGAGGCGTGGACACGAAGCGCTTGGACCGCTGGTGGTGGGCTGGATGGAAAGAGAGAAGAAGGGAGAGCGGTCAGACAAACTGGCCTAGAATCAGACTTTTAAGACTTTTAAGACAGCTCTCTTGTGAGAGCCTGGTTTCTCTGGTGTAAATTGATGAACTGTTAGTCTGGAAACAGTCTGGAACAATGACAGACTTGAAGATGAAATGTCAAATTGCTTATGGCGAATATCTGAGTAGTTACAAGTGATAATATTTGAGTTGTAACAAGTGATACTACAGGCCCATCAGGGATTGTAGGCTACAAATGTGTATTTTCTAGGGCAGAAGAAGAGCGACTGAGCACTGAGCAGCTCGAGCTCTCCGGATATGCCTGGAGCAGCTCCAGCGGCTCTCACTGGGTGACTCAGCAGCCCTTTACGGGAAAACCACATGCATTTCACATGTGATTATTACATGTGAAGTGTTCCAAAAACACATGTTTTTACATGAGTTCACATGTGAAATCACGTGATTTTCCACATGTGAAATCATGTTTTTTCTGTAAGGGGAGTCATACTATCGGCGGCCCCTCCTCCTCCTAAAGACTACATTCCCAAATTGACCTTCACTGGGCGGAAATTATGTGTGAGAGGGGAAAAAAATATTTTCTAGGTAAATGTCTGACAGTGCTGACCTGCAACGTGCAGTACCAGGAGGCGGTGAGACTAGTTTCCACGTCTCACCACCACCAGCCCCCGTCCCCGGCCCGGCCCGTACCTCCCTCCCTCGGTCACTCCCCCCTCACTTCCTCTGAGACTTACCCTCCCCCTTTTCCCCTTGCCTGCATATACTGTCAGAGCTGAGACCATTCCCCGTTAACCCTAGCTGTGCACCGGTCAAAGTATCGACTTATCCACCCTTACCTCAACATTTAAATATATAGCCTGCGCTGTGTGTAATTATTTGAGGCTCAGATGTTTGCGTAAAAGTGGTATTTTACGCATCACTCCAAGACAGAAGTTGAGGTAGTTTGGATAGACAAATCCTCCAGCTAAACTCTGCCCGTTCCAGGAATTGAAGCCCCAGGACACGGCTGGTACAGGAATTGGGCCAGAGTCCATTTCGTTTGCCATACATGATGTAGACACACAACACAACTAAGTGACTATGTGGAACAGCTTGGCTTATTGTTTTATCTTACTAAAATACCTTGGCCTATGAATATGATTTAAAGACAGCATATTCCTAAATAGACCCAAGTCAAAGGTTTTATAAGTGTTAATGCATACCTGTCTGGTCTGAGTTAGTGGTTCCATGGTTTACTTTTGTCTCCTGATTATCTGGCAACCTGTCCTCGTCCTCGTTGACCCCGCACTTTGAGCTGCTCTCCTCTGCAAAAGATTCCCGACCTCTCCTGCGAATGAGGTGGAGGTCCCCATCCATAGGCTGTGCATCACTCGAATTATGTGGATGTATGAAGTACTCTTCACCTTGGAGGTAGAAGCCGCCCTGTAGTCCGTGGCACAGGTTGAGCGCAGCTGCGGAGTCCTCCTCCCGGTTCACCGTGCCCGAGAAGAAGCATCGAGCCTCGGCTGCGCTGCTGTCAGATTCCCGCTGCGCCTTCGACTCGGGGCTCCCCACCACATGGAACACAAACCCAGGTGCCAGGAAGGTCTGGTCCGGCTCTAGCTCCAAGACCAACCGTTTGCCAAATACGTCCAACCGGTAGACCCGCATCTCCGACTCCTTCTCTCGCTCCTCTACCGAAAGGGTCCGGCCCTGCTCAGCTTCCCTCTCCGGCCGAACCGCGTCGAGTCTGACCGGTACCACTGTACTTTCCTCCCATGTGCCGTGCGACGCGCTCACGCACAGAGCGGTAATCAAACTGAACGAGACGCACACGAACGACATCATATTCCCTGTCAAATCCTTCAAACTGAAAGAGAAAATGATATTGAAGTGTCTGGCGGAAGCAAGTAAAATCCGTAAAAGACTCCACTAATAACTAAAAAATATCAGTCCAAGAACTAGAACACCTCCAGAAATGATAGCCGAAAAAATAAGTGTAAAAAAACTAAAATGGAAACAAATCCAGTGCAAAACCCATTCAAAATAGTCTACAGCTCAGACTTCATATCGTGTTGCTTCAAGCTCGAGTCTTCTTATTTTCTCTTGCTCGAAAAAAGCTCAACAGTAGATAAATTCCAACTCTTCGGAACGTTGGTGTTTATTTCAGCCCTCTATTGAATACTCAACAGCTGTTTGAGTTTCTATATGACTTCGGGGCAGGTTTTTTTTCCCCTGCTGTGCCGTCTAGTTTCTGCTCTGCTTTTGCCTTAAAGACCGACAGACCCCGGTTCCCTATATATCCCCCTGCTCCGGACCACCCCTTCCTGAAGCCTCTTTGATCTTTTAGAGGCGAAATCTCGTGCGCAACAAAACGTAGACATGGAGACGTGCCATAATAATCAATCAATGTGGAGTGGGACGCGTTTGGCCCAGAAACTTTTTTTCCCCCTTGCTCTGCTTGTAGGCGGGACTATAGCCCTCACTCCTCTCCCCATTCCCCGTCCTCCTCCTATATGTTCACATCATTTACACTAAAACTCTCATACTTTTCGCCCCTGCTACTTTCACGCTGCGCTCATATAGCCTATAGGCTATACCCACACATTGAATGTAAATTATACGTCATGAGGGTGGCAGTGGTTTATCTGTGGCAGTGTTGTGGTGTCTGTGAAACTGGAGATGTGGGATAGCTAGCAGGTCAGAGATGGCAACCGTAGCACCGGTGCTCGATACGGTGAGCGAGGAGTCCTTTGCATAGCCGCAGTGCCAAGCGAGCTGTGCGCCGTGGCGGCCTGGCAGGTTTCCATAGCTTTTCGGGGAGAGGGAACGCAGAGGGGCCGGTGAGTTCTTAAGGTGGAATAGTCCCTTGGGCGCATCTCCTTCTCCACTCAACCCTCCGAGGCCGGGGCCCCTCTCCTTGCGCGGACACCCCCTCCCCTCCCCTCCCCTCCCCGCGCTCGTTTTCCCAACTCCTCTTCTCAAACATACAGTGCAAACCGCATCACTTGTGTAAGTCCAGTACTCTGGAACCTTCCCAAACACTCAACCCACCGAGGCCGGGGCCCCTCTCCTTGCGCGGACACCCCCTCCCCTCCCCGCGCTCGTCTTCCCAACTCCTCTTCTCAAACATACCGTGCAAACCGCATCACTTGTGTAAGTCCAGTACTCTGGAACCTTCCCAAACGAATTATCGACGTATTACTCGCCCGCTCCCAGTGACCGAGTAATTATTTGCTAAGTATTATATATCACGTTTGAATAATGATACATGACACACCAATAAAATACTAAACCCAACTGTGTCTATGTATGGTAAGTCTATTTACATGTACATTTTAGTCTATCCACCCAGATGACAGAACAGACAAGTGGTACATACCGTACGGGAACAAAACGAGACGTCACAGGTACATTGCAGGAACACCAATAGCCAAGAGATAAAGATCAAGAGATATTTACATTTACATTTTAGTCATTTAGCAGACGCTCTTATCCAGAGCGACTTACAGTTAGTGAGTGCATACATTATTTTTCATACTGGATATGATGGATAAAGTGCCATACACGGTGGTCTCAGCCTCTTAGTGAACCGCGAGTCTGTGTTGAACATGGCCTGGCCAGTAGAGTATAAGAGTGAAACATTTATAATCAATTCACTAAATGCGTTTTTAACGCATTAGTTGGAGCCCATCATATGAATGTAACTTACCATTTCGAGAGGAGAATTGTGATGGGCCACCTTAAGCACAACAGGTCGGGGAGAGGGAATAGTTGTAGTGACATAGTTGTCCAACAGATGTCAGACGTGGACCGTGGAAAAAGTAGCAAAGGACCATGGCTATAGCTCTACTATTGCCATAAATCCAATATATGGCACATGCTATTCCCACATAAGACTCTTTTGGCTCAGAATTTGCATGTCACACATGTAAGGGAAAAAGGTATCAATTGGTTATAAGGAAGATCATAATTTCTATCTTTATGACCCCAGGTATGGAGGCATTAGGAATTCTAAATCGTCCAAAAGGGCCACAAAATGAACAGTGCCGTGGTACCAGCCTCAACTGTCCACCTCTCTGTGGCATAGAGGGGCAGTTGGTAGAGCATGGCGTTTGCAACGCCAGGGTTGTGGGTTCGATTCCCACGGGGGGGCCAGTATGAAAAAAAAATATATATGTATGCACTCACTAACTGTAAGTCGCTCTGGATAAGAGCGTCTGCTAAATGACTAAAATGTAAATTTAGTCCCAGTTTTTGTTGAGGGGTCATTGATTGCCAAATCCAATATCTTTCAATAAATTCTGTATTATGAATGACATCTTGTCCTGTATGGCTCAGTTGGTAGAGCATGGCACTTGCAACGGCAGGATTGTGGGTTCAATTCCAGGGGCCACCCATACGAAAAATGTATGCATGCATAACTGTAAGTCGCTTTGGATAAGAGCGTCTGCTTAATGACTAAAATGTAAAATGATGAAAGAGTCTGCTCAATGGCATATATTTCAATGGACATAGCACCTCTGCTGTCTCTCAATGACTTATTCTGAGGGCCAATGGCATTTTGGGAACACAAGACATGGCAATAGGTTGTTGTTGCTTTTGTTTTTATTGGGTATTCAATTTAGGCACAGAAAAGGGTTTGCAAGGCGTAGTCATTTAGCTTTATTGTGTATGTATGTGAAGATAATTTATTGGTTACAAAAGCCCTATAGCCTGCAGATGGCAGCACAACATCACATTTGACCTCAGTGTTCTCCGACTTCAGTACCACAGCACTGTAACTTCCATCAATGTATACACTCTACAGTCCACATAGGGACTTACAGTGACTCTACAGCATTCTTACTAGTCCCTTGAAAGGAGTAGTAAATTACACTAGAACATAGTGAACATATCAGCCCTTAAAGGGGCAATGTGGGATTGCTACATACATTTTTCGACTTTTAAATTAGTGATCACTGAACCCCAGATTGCCTCTTTAAAGGGTGTTAGGGCTATTATATAATAGCATATGCAGCTACACCCTGATTCTAGTACACATATCCGTTTCTTAAGGGAGTAACAGATATTACGATATCTTAGTGGACATGTCATATGGAGAGAGGGAGTCTACTACACAACATTTATCACACATATTAATTTATATGAGGACGTGAAGGTACCCTACATCCCCATTGGCTATAAAAGGGAATGAATGTGACTACATTCTAGAGTGTGTGTGTGTGGGCGTGTGTGTGTGTGTGCGTGTATGTTTTAATGTGAAGTCTGCACTTTGGCATATCACACTTCATCCACCCCTACTCATCATGGAGTAGTTCATACAGTAGCCCCTGTGCCCTTTTGATGTCTTCTTAATAGCAACAGGAAAAACGCACGTACACACACACTGCACACAAACACACTTCCAGTCTCATCTGACCTGGGATTGTGGTACAATGATCTATCATCAACATCATAATCATCATCATCATCAATCTTGTAGTGAACAAGTTAAAGACAACACTTTAGTGAATGCAGGTACAGTGGGGAGAACAAGTTTTTGATACACTGCCGATTTTGCAGGTTTTCCTACTTACAAAGCATGTAAAGGTCTGTAATTTTTATCATAGGTACACTTCAACTGTAAGAGACAGAATCTAAAACAAAAATCCAGAAAATCACATTGTATGATTTTTAAGTAATTAATTTGCATTTTATTGCATGACATAAGTATTTGATCACCTACCAACCAGTAAGAATTCCGGCTCTCACAGACCTGTTAGTTTTTCTTTAAGAAGCCCTCCTGTTCTCCACTCATTACCTGTATTAACTGCACCTGTTTGAACTCGTTTCCTGTATAAAAGACACCTGTCCACACACTCAATCAAACAGACTCCAACCTCTCCACAATGGCCAAGACCAGAGAGCTGTGTAAGGACATCAGGGATAAAATTGTAGACCTGCACAAGGCTGGGATGGGCTACAGGACAATAGGCAAGCAACTTGGTGAGAAGGCAACAACTGTTGGCGCAATTATTAGAAAATGGAAGAAGTTCAAGATGACGGTCAATCACCCTCTGTCTGGGGCTCCATGCAAGATCTCACCTTGTGGGGCATCAATGATCATGAGGAAGGTGAGGGATCAGCCCAGAACTACACGGCAGGACCTGGTCAATGACCTGAAGAGAGCTGGGACCACAGTCTCAAAGAAAACCATTAGTAACACACTACGCCGTCATGGATTAAAATCCTGCAGCGCACGCAAGGTCCCCCTGCTCAAGCCAGCGCATGTCCAGGCCCATCTGAAGTTTGCCAATGACCATCTGGATGATCCAGAGGAGGAATGGGAGAAGGTCATGTGGTCTGATGAGACAAAAATATAGCTTTTTGGTCTAAACTCCACTCGCCGTGTTTGGAGGAAGAAGAAGGATGAGTACAACCTCAAGAACACCATCCCAACTGTGAAGCATGGAGGTGGAAACATCATTCTTTGGGGATGCTTTTCTGCAAAGGGGACAGGACGACTGCACCGTATTGAGGGGAGGATGGATGGGGCCATGTATTGCGAGATCTTGGCCAACAACCTCCTTCCCTCAGTAAGAGCATTGAAGATGGGTCATGGCTGGTTCTTCCAGAATGACAACGACCCGAAACACACAGCCAGGGCAACTAAGGAGTGGCTCCGTAAGAAGCATCTCAAGGTCCTGTAGTGGCCTAGCCAGTCTCCAGACCTGAACCCAATAGAAAATCTTTGGAGGGAGCTGAAAGTCCGTATTGCTCAGCGACAGCCCCGAAACCTGAAGGATCTGGAGAAGGTCTGTATGGAGGAGTGGGCCAAAATCCCTGCTGCAGTGTGTGCAAACCTGGTCAAGACCTACAGGAAACGTATGATCTCTGTAATTGCGAACAAAGGTTTCTGTACCAAATATTAAGATCTGCTTTGCTGATGTATCAAATACTTATGTCATGCAATAAAATGCAAATTAATTACTTAAAAATCATACAATGTGATTTTCTGGATTTTTGTTTTAGATTCCGTCTCTCACAGTTGAAGTGTACCTATGATAAAAATGACAGACTTCTACATGCTTTGTAAGTAGGAAAACCTGCAAAATCGACAGTGTATCAAATACTTGTTCTCCCCACTGTATATGAGGTACAGCCATTGAATTAGTAGAAGGGAAGAGCAAAGGTATGGTCTTCCTTGAACTCCTTGAGGTGAGGGTGACACTAAACAGTGGCCAACTATAATTTTATGTTGCTTTTCTTAAGTGTGACTTATGCTGTGAATTATAATGGTTATACATTTATCACCTATCAGTTGTTTTCTCTCTTCATAAAGAGTGGAAATGGTCTTTGAGTTCTTCTCTCCTAGCTGTCATACTGTCTCTCTGTTGTAGATCGGTGTAGTCTGGCTGTCCGTCTCCAATCAATTCCTGAATGGACTGATTACCGTACATTCCATTTGACCTGAGTGCATTGTCACATGATCAAACAGGAGTAGTTTTGATCACATTGTGATGGGGCACAACTTTCACTGTAACCTCTGTATGCATGGTTTCATGACCATAGGCCATAATCTAACAAGATCTGGCAACAAGGCTTTATCCTCTTGCAAAGGTTGAATGAGAGAGAGAGAGAGAGAGAGAGAGGATACTTTGCTACTTTAGTTCAAGTCGGCCTTGCAAAAGAGGTTTCGTACCTCAAGGGTCTTTCCTAGTAAAATAAAAACATGTTCTGAACACGTCCAATAAATGAATGAAACAGACACAGAGCTTTTAAATATATAGATTTTATGTACATATATTCATGTAGATGACTAGAAAACACTATTTTCTTAAAAATGAATTATTCTGCACAGTCATATTCTTAGTTAAATAGTAATTATGATACAACATTGCCATAATAATAAATACATTCATCACATGGTTTTTTTCACATACTAGTTGTACAAACAATAAATTACAAGTTCAGTGCTGTGTTTCTGTCGTTCAACGAAAGGGTCTTTTCCCATGGGAAGAGTCAAACAGTAATACACATACAGTGAGGGAAAAAAGTATTTGATCCCCTGCTGATTTTGTATGTTTGCCCACTGACAAAGACATGATCAGTCTATAATTTTAATGGTAGGTTTATTTGAACAGTGAGAGACAGAATAACAACAACATGTCAAAAATGTTATAAATTGATTTGCATTTTAATGAGGGAAATAAGTATTTGACCCCCTCTCAATCAGAAAGATTTCTGGCTCCCAGGTGTCTTTTATACAGGTAACGAGCTGAGATTAGGAGCACACTCTTAAAGGGAGTGCTCCTAATCTCAGTTTGTTACCTGTATAAAATACACCTGTCCACAGAAGCAATCAATCAATCAGATTCCAAACTCTCCACCATGGCCAAGACCAAAGAGCTCTCCAAGGATGTCAGGGACAAGATTGTAGACCTACACAAGGCTGGAATGGGCTACAAGACCATCGCCAAGCAGCTTGGTGAGAAGTAGACAACAGTTGGTGCGATTATTCGCAAATGGAAGAAACACAAAATAACTGTCAATCTCCCTCGGCCTGGGGCTCCATGCAAGATCTCACCTCGTGGAGTTGCAATGATAATGAGAACGGTGAGGAATCAGCCCAGAACTACATGGGAGGATCTTGTCCAATGATCTCAAGGCAGCTGGGACCATAGTCACCAAGAAAACAATTGGTAACACACTACGCCGTGAAGGACTGAAATCCTGCAGGCCCGCAAGGTCTCCCTGCTCAAGAAAGCACATATACAGGGCCGTCAGAAGTTTGCCAATGAACATCTAAATGATTCAGAGGAGATCTGGGTGAAAGTGTTGTGGTCAGATGAGACCAAAATCGAGCTCTTTGCCATCAACTCAACTCGCCGTGTTTGGAGGAGGAGGAATGCTGCCTATTACCCCAAGAACACCATCCCCACCGTCAAACATGGAGGTGGAAACATTATGCTTTGGGGGTGTTTTTCTGCTAAGGGGACAGGACAACTTCACCGCATCAAAGGGACGATGGACGGGGCCATGTACCGTCAAATCTTGGGTGAGAACCTCCTTCCCTCCGCCAGGGCATTGAAAATGGGTCGTGGATGGGTATTCCAGCATGATAATGACCCAAAAGACACGGCCAAGGCAACAAAGGAGTGGCTCAAGAAGAAGCACATTAAGGTCCTGGAGTGGCCTAGCCAGTCTCCAGACCTTAATCCCATAGAAAATCTGTGGAGGGAGCTGAAGGTTCGAGTTGCCAAACGTCAGCCTTCGAAACCTTAATGACTTGGAGAAGATCTGCAAAGAGGAGTGGGACAAAATCCCTTCTGTGATGTGTGCAATCCTGGTGGCCAACTACAAGAAACGTCTGACCTCTGTGATTGCCAACAAGGGTTTTGCCACCAAGTACTAAATCATGTTTTGCAGAGGGGTCAAATACTTATTTCCCTCATTAAAATGCAAATCAATTTATAACATTTTTGACATGCGTTTTCTCGATTTTGTTGTTGTTATTCTGTCTCTCACTGTTCAAATAAACCTACCATTAAAATTATAGACTGATCATGTCTTTGTCAGTGGGCAAACGTACAAAATCAGCAGGGGATCAAATACTTTTTTCCCTCACTGTACAGTATATTTGTGTGTGTGTGTGTGCGTGTGTTTGCATGGGTGTGGTTTAATTTTCTTTACATACTTATGTGTGTGTGCAAAATATATTCTGTACATATGTGATATTGGTGTTTCTATCTAAATGTGTATTGTAGTGTGTGAGTTAAAATGTGTGTATACATATTTGTGTATTATGTGTTAATTGAGCCTAATACTCTTAATTAAGTAATTTGGGGGTGTTGTGTATTCTTTATGTGAATGTGTGTCTGTGCCTGTGTATGAGAAATAGTGAGTTTTGCCTATGTGGCAAGATCCCATATGTATCCAGTATATTGCATGTCTATCATCACCCTTGAAAAGGTGTGTGGCTTAGCATTACAAGCTCATGAGGGATAGAGGGATGATGGAGAATGGATGGTGGTGGATGTGAGAGTGAGTGAAAGACAGTGTGAGAAATGGATAGCTTAAACAAGAATGTGCCAATATGTTGAATGAGAGACGGAGAGGGAGGGAGAGGGTGAGAGAGATATAGAGAAAGAGAGAAAGAGCGAGCTGTAGAAGTGTATTTGGTCAGGTATGACTGGGTTAGTTTCCCTCTTGCTGTATTTGCGAGTATCCAGGGCACACATTGTCATACTAGCAAGAATTGCTTTTTTTCCTAATCAGACAAACAGACAGAAAGACAGACAGACACAGACATGGAGAGCCAAAGAAACACAGTGACAAAATGGTAGCGACCCCCTAGCTCCCGCATAGTGATACAAATGGAACTGAGGGTTAAAGTCCATTAAAAGAGTTTAGGACATTGAGTATGACAAAAACACTATATGTTCACAACACACACACACACACACACACACACACACACACACACACACACACACACACACACACACACACACACACACACAAAGATAAACACACACACACACACACACACACACAAATGTTAAGCTTAGCCCCACACGTTATGTAATCCCATATAATTACAACCTTTAACCTCCACAATGGTCAGAGGTGAAGGGTCACCATGGTCTCTTGGCCCAGTGTCACTATATAGGGGTCACTGGGCATGGGCAGTTGGTAGTGCTGAGCGATTAGTGCTTTTTGAGGTCGGTTTGGTTTCGGTTCGATTATAAAAAAAGAATCATGGTTTTCGATTTCAATAATTTTTTCAAACATTAAATGCACCATGCATTATGTGGGTTGAATGCTGTAACACAGAAAAAAAACAATTAATAATGGTAGTGACTGCCCATTACTGCTTATCACTTATTAACCATAATTTATTCACATTACTTTACTTTAATAAAATATTTCAGTTGTGTATATTACATTTGTTTTATTTGATGATTTTATTATTTAATTCCAAGTCATTTCTATAGAGCTGCTGCCTATGCTGTCTGACAAAATCAGTATTTGAGTAGTTCTTCAAAGTAAATAAGGCATCCTTTTATTACAGCTGAATACCAACTATCAACCACTTAGATAATGTATTTTCAGGTAGAGATACTTCGCAAAGCAACTGCTCTCTATCCCTCTCGATCACACATTCTTCCGTACTAACCTAAGTAGCAGGCATAAAAGACCGGACAAGTACGCACGCAAAAGACCGGACAAGCAATTGATTATGGTCATTGTGGTTCATTAGCATGTTTTCTGCGCTAAACTATTTAGAATATTGGCCTGTTGGAAACTACAACTCCCTACTACATCGCACAGTTTGGGATTGATCTGATTTATTTCTAGAGAAACTGCCCAATGTGTGCATTGAGTTCACAGAAAAAAACGGAACTAAATGGAATTGAACCGAAGTCTGTCAATTAGTTGTTTAAAAACCAAAATAATAAACAAAATGTAGGTTAATCGCTCAGCACTAGCAATTGGGCACAATTCTGCCCCAACTCACTCACTTTATGTCAATTTTCTGACCTGGGATGTTTGCAGTGCGGTTCAACCCCATTTCTGGACTGGTTACAGTACGGATCAGTTGCTCTTGGTTGTGCCCCCAGCCTACTTCCTGGTCCCCAATCCAAACAGGAAGTTGGATAGACCTCATTCCATCACTTTATGTCCATTTTTTGACCTGGGATGTTTGCAGTGCGGTTCAACCCCATTTCTGGACTGGTTACAGTACGGATCGGTTGCTCTTGGTTGTGGCCCCAGCCTACTTCCTGGTCCGCAATCCAAACAGGAAGTTGGATAGACCAATCGTATGTGGAGACTCGGCCGTGGGAGGAGCAAGAAGAGAAAGGGGACCCCAAAAGGAAGTGGAGAAAAAGTGCCACGCAACAGACTAGTCCTGAGGCCCATTGTCCGGAGGTGTGCAGTCACACAACACAAAGAGACAAAGCGGACAATCACGAAAAACCCACAGTAGCAACAACATACAGAAAAGCAAACAAAACGTGTAATTAACAGAGGAATACAAACGAAACCTTCAGATAGAGGAGGGATTTGACAAGTGGGTGGTTGGTGATTGGGCGACTGCACTATTCGGAAGTGTCCACATGTGCCCGTCGTTTGTCTGTAGCTGTGCCAAGCAGTGCCTGGCATAGTAGGGTTGGGTGTGAGGAAGAGGAGGGGTTGACTGTCAATAGCCAGTGTCTCTGTCTATGTATACCCGTTTCTGGTCCTTTCAACACTTTTTCACTAGGCATTGTTTGAAGGCGGAGGGGCGGTCGGCCAGAGGGCACCCCTTGGCCAGCTTGGCCTGCGGGTCCTTGCACTGCACCGTGCGGCTCTGCCAGCCCGTGTCACAAGTCCTGGAGCAGATCATCCAGGGGCCCATCACCCACTGGGGCCCAGGGGCCACCGTCGACACCCCCGGGGCTGTGGAGCGAGCCAGGGCCGGGGCCAATGTGGTTCTACTGCTGGATCTAGTAGAGGTGGTTGTTGTAGTAGTAGTAGTGGTAGATGTGGTTGTGGAGGTGTGCGGGGGAGGTGGGGGTGGTGGTGCCAAAACCCGACGGGGCATGAAGAAGCTGTAGCGGATATCCAGGGGCCTCTTGGCATCCGTGGCCAGAATCTGAACCGTAAGGGCCTCTCTGAGGGCCCCTGGGCCCATGCTGTGTAGCCACTCGTCCTGCTGGCTCCAGCCACTGTAGTTGAGCACCGAGCCGTTGAGGGGGATGACTGTCTCTGAGGTAGAGATCATGAACTTGCCATTGAGGAGGTAGTCGCCACCAGGACGACGCAGGGCCAGGTAGGCTGTGTACCTGGGCTGGTCCTTGGGCTTGTGCTGGCGGACCTTGATGTGGGTGGAGCCCTCTGGGATCTTCACGACGTCTGTGTAGCCCTTACTGCATGGGGGAGGGAGAGAGGGTTACAGGAGAGTGAGGAGTGTGTGTGTGGCAAGATCCCATATGTGCCCAGTATGTTGTACACTACATGACCAAAAGTATGTGGACACCTGCTCATCGAACATCTCATTCCAAAATCATGGGCATTAATATGGAGTTGGTCCCCCCTTTGCTGCTATAACAGCCTCCAATCTTTTATGAGGGCTTTCCACTAGATGTTGGAACATTGCTGCGGGGACTTGCTTCCATTAAGCCACAAGAGCATTAGTGAGGTCGGCCACTGATGTTGGGCGATTAGGCCTGGCTCGCAGTCAGTGTTCCAATTCATCCCAAAAGTGTTAGATAGGGTTGAGGTCAGGGCTCTGTGCAGGCCAGTCAATTCCTCCACCAAACTTTACAGTTGGCACTATGCATTGGGGCAGGTAGCGTTCTCCTGGTATCCGCCCAACCCAGATTTGTCTGTCGGACTGCCAGATGGTGAAGCGTGATCGCTCCAGAGAACGCGTTTCCACTGCTCCAGAGTCCAATGACGGCGAGCTTTACACCACTCCAGCCAACGCTTGGCATTGCACATGGTGATCTTAGGCTTGTGTGGGGCTGCTCGGCAATGGAAACCCATTTCATGAAGCTCCAGACGAACAGTTATTGTGCTGACGATGCTTCCAGAGACAGTTTGGAACTCGGTAGTGAGTGTTGCAACCGAGGACAGACAATTTTTGCGCACTACGCGCTTCAGCACTCGGCGGTCCCGTTCTAGGAGCTTGTGTGGCCTACCACTTCGCGGCTGAGCCGTTGTTGCTCCTAGACGTTTCCACTTCACAATAACAGCACTTACAGTTGACCGGGGAACTGACTTGTTGGAACGGTGCCACGTTGAAAGTCACTGAGCTCTTCAGTAAGGCCATTCTACTGTCAATGTTTGTCTATGGAGATTGCATGGATGTGTGCTCGATTTTATACACCTGTCAACAACAGGTGTGGCTGAAATAGCCGATTCCACTAATTTGAAGGGGTGTCCACATATTTTTGTATATATAATGTACGTCAATCTTCACCAATGGAAGGTGTGATTTAGCATTACAAGCTCATGACGTATAGAGAGATGAGGGAAAAGGGAGGATGTGACAGAGTGAGTGTGAGAAATGGATAGCTTAAACAAGAATTTGCCAATGTATTGAATGAGAGATGGTGAGGGAGCGGAAGACAATCTATAGACCATTCCTACAAATGTACTCAAGATGTAGATGTGTTAAAATACAGTATACTCGTACCCTTTCACTTTACAATGGAGTGCAACGGAGCAGAATGTTTAGTTTTTTCTTTTCAAAATTTGTTGAATGGCTATTTTTACCTATATGCACCTGCAACTTACTACAGGTGAGATAAATTACACAATAAACAAGAATCATTGCCTCCAACCAAATATTTAGATTTTTTTATAATGAAGTCAAGGCCATTTGTTTTTTTTACTTTGAAGTGGAAAATATAAATCTCAGTTTAGATTTTTATTTTCTTGGTGCTGTGTATCAGACAAATAAACGTGTAAACCCCAAATGTTTTTTTTCAATTTCAGTGTGTGTGTGTGTTTGTGTGTTCCCTTACCTCTTCTTGGTGAAGTTGCCTATCACCCTGATGCAGCCAGTGCTGTCCCCTCCACAGATGCCACACTTGTCAAACTGCAGCTTGGAGCCAATGATGCCGTCACAGCCGGTACGCACACACTTGCCCTTCACACACACTGAGCTGCTGTACGGCCGACATTCTGTCCCATCCACCACCTGGAGAAGGAGACATAAGGAGATATTATCATCATTGCTGTTATTGTACTCTTCATCATCATCATCATCATCATCATAGAGGCTCGCCTCGTAGGAGACTGTAGCTGATTACTGCCGAGGTGTTGTGGTCTCTCAGGAGCTTACAGCTGCTGAATCATCACCCAGGTGAGTGCTACTCATTCGGTGGTAGATGTTCCAGCCTACCTACAAAGGAGGAGTAGCTGTGAACTTCAAAGACAGAGGTGCCTGATGAAGAGCTGACTGTCTGACTGTTGTTTTTCCCTCCCTGGCTGTATTATGAACCATCGACGCGACCTGCACTCAACTCCACTTTACTGAGCTGCATCATCATCTATCTGTGGAAGACCATCTCCCATTAACTGCCAGCCCCCTGAAATATATATTTTAAAGCGACTTTGAGATTCTGTATGAACAGTGGTATATAAAATAAATCCATCATCATCATCATCACCATCAGTATTCTCACAGTCATCATGGGTATATTATCATGTACAGCGCCTTCAGAAAGTATTCACACCCCTTGACTTTTTCAATTTTTTGTTGTGTTACAGCCTGATCACACACAATACCCCATAATGTCAAAGTGGAATTTTATTTGTAGAAAACTTTAGAAATTTATAAAAATGTAAAGCTGAAATGTCTTGAGTCAATAAGTATTCAACCCCTTTGTTATGTCAAGACTAAATAAGTTCAGGAGTAAAAATGTGCTTAAATCACATAATAAGTTGCATTCTGTGTTCAATAATAGTGGTGAACATGATTTTTGAATGACTACCCCATCTCTGTACCCCCCACACACAATTATCTGTTAAGGTCCCTCAATCGAGTAATGAATTTCAAGCACAGATTCAACCACAAAGACCAGCCTCGCAAAGAAGGGCACCGATTGGTAGATGTGTAAAAATAAAAATAAAGTAGATGCTGAATAGCCTTTTGAGCATGGTGAAGTTATTAATTACACTTTGGACGGTGTATCAATACACCCAGTCACTACAAAGATACAGGTGCCCTTCCCAACTCAGTTGCCGGAGAGGAAGGATTTCACCATGCCTGTACTGAATTAAAAAGATTCCAAAACATGCATCCTGTTTGCAACAAGGCACTTAAGTAATACAGCAAAAAATGTGGCTAAGAAATACACTTTTTGTCCTGAATACAAAGCGTTATGTATGGGGCAAATCCAACACAACACATCACTTAGTACCACTCTTCATATCTTCAAGCATGGAGGTGGCTGCATCATGTTATGGGTATGCTTGTCATCGGCAAGGACTAGGGAGATTTTAGGATAAAAAGAAACGGAATACAGCTAAGCACAGGCAAAATCCTAGAGGGAAACCTGGTTCAGTCTTCTTTCCAACAGACACTGGGAGACGAATTCACTATTCAGCAGGACAATAACCTAAAACACAAGGCCAAATCTACACTGGAGTTGCTTACCAAGACGACATTGAATGTTCCTGTGTGGCCTAGTTACAGTTTTGACAGAGCTTGAAGAATAAGAAAAATTGGCAAATATTGTACAATTCAGGTGTGCAAAGCTCTTAGAGCTAAGGATCCTGGGACTAAACACCTCCCTCTGCAACTGGATCCTGGACTTCCTGACGGGCCGCCCCCAGGTGGTAAGGGTAGGTAACAACACATCTGCCACACTGATCCTCAACACAGGGGCCCCTCAGGGGACTGAGCACGCCCCCATTCTCATTGACGGGGCTGTAGTGGAACAGGTTGAGAGCTTCAAGTTCCTTGGTGTCCACATCACCAACGAACTATCATGGTCCAAACACACCAAGACAGTCGTGAAGAGGGCACGAAAAAGCCTATTCCCCCTCAGGAGTCTGAAAATATTTGGCATGGGTCCTCAGATCCTCAAAAAATTCTACAGCTGCACCATCGAGAGCATTCTGACTGGTTGCATCACCGCCTGGTATGGCAACTGCTCGGCCTCCGACCGCAAGGCACTACAGAGGGTAGTGCGTACGGCCCAGTACATCACTGGGGCCAAGCTTCCTAAAATAAGGTTTTTCTGTTTTAAATATTTTATAAATTTACAAACATTTCTAAAAACCTGTTATCCCTTTGTCATTATGGGGTATTGTGTGTAGATTGCTGAGGATTGTTTTTCATTTAATCCATTTTAGAATAAGGCTATAACGTAACAAAATGTGGAAAAAGTCAATGGGTCTGAATACTTTTCGAAGGCACTGTATCATCACCATCATCTTTATCATCATCATACTAGCAGAACGGACACTACAAGTCTTGATAACAAAGGTAGTGGACTAATGGTAGTGGAAGACAGCACTCCAAAGTACCCTCACTCACACTCTTTTACTCCCCAGTGCCCTTCTCTTATTCACTCACCCTCTGCGAGAACACTACATAGTAGCCTGTGCCCTTGGCCCGGCAGGTCAGCTTGCACACATCTTTGGGTAGCACTCCTGCGAACTTGGGTACCCACTCCACAAAGGTCTTCACCCCCTTAGGGTCTGTCTGGGGGCCATTCCGCACCTCACACTGCTCCTGGCGGAAACTCTTACCTAGAGGAGGACAGTTCCACCACAGGTTAGAGTGGGAACATTAGCATTTCAGACTGTGTGTGTGTGTGTGTGTGTTTGAGAGAGCGAGCGAGAGAGAGACAGAGAGAGAGACAGGGAGAGAGAGTCTAAATATTTACCATTCATTGATCTATTGTAAGCCTGTGTATTTGCCTGAGCAAATGTATACTTGTGTGTGCTTATGCGTGTCTATCTCACTATGTGATCACACACGTCAGCCAGTCAATCTGCAGTACTACACTCACTGTGCGAGGGGCATGGGGTGACACTGCAGGACCTGTAGATGGCTCTCTTGCCGGTGCAGTAGCGCCCATTGTTTCGGGGCGGCGGGTTGTTACACAGACGCTGGGCGAACTGCACCCCTCCACCGCACGTCCTCGAACATGCCCCCCACGGACCCCACGAACTCCAACTTCCGTGGTTAGATGCCTTGGAGAGCAGGATGAAGAGAGGAGAGCGGGAAGATGAAAGAGAAAGATGAGATAGGAGAGAGGGAGGCAATAGGAAAGAGATTGAGAGAGAGAGCGATAGAGCGAGAGAGAGAGAGCGAGAGAGAGAGAGAGAGAGAGAGGAGAGTGAGAAGAGATAGGAGAGTGAGATCAGAGGAGGAGAGGGAGGAGAGAGATAAGAGAGTACTCTTAAAGTTGCACAGTGAGCATGTTAAAAGTTGGATTGGCCGGCAGCCAAGCCATGTGTAAAATGTGTGTATGTGTCTGTGTGTGTGTGATTCATTTGTGTGTCTGCATGCACGTGATTGTCTGTGCAAGTGGAATACATTGAGAAGGGTGTGGGGCGGCATGATGATAGAAATTAAAGTAATGTTCAAAGGCGACCCAGTACATCAAGGCAAAGTCAGAGTCTGTAGCAATGTGCTATATTAGCTCACATGCTAGCCTACAACATCTTAAGGGTATAGGGTGAAGTTGCCCCTAGACGCTGATCTTGGGTCAGTTTAGCATTTTCCCAACTAATGGTTAAGGTTAAGATTGGGGAAGGGAAAGTTGATCTGAACTATCTTGATTCTTTACGTATTGTCTCTATTCGTCTTTGTTTTGTCTTTGAAAGGCTGGTCTTTGAAAGGCTGGCTCATATCAACACCATTATCCCAGAAACCCTACACCCACTCCAATTTGCATACCGCCCCAACAGATCCACAGATGATGCAATCTCTACTGCACTCCACACTGCCCTTTCCCACCCGGACAAGAGGAACACCTACGTGAGAATGCTATTCATTCACTACAGCTCAGCGTTCCAACACCATAGTGCCCTCAAAGCTCATCACTAAGCTAAGGACCCTGGGACTAAACACCTCCCTCTGCAACTGGATCCTGGACTTCCTGACGGGCCACCCCCAGGTGGTAAGGGTAGGTAACAACACATCTGCCACGCTGATCCTCAACACAGGGGCTCCTCAGGGGTGCGTGCTCAGTCCCCTCCTGTACTCCCTGTTGCGCACCCACACACATTGAGGCTGATCCCGCAACGATGAACAGCCTATAGGGAGAGGTCAGAGACCTGGCTGTGGTGCCAGGAAAACCTCTCCCTCACGTGACAAGTTATTGATGTCACATCACCATCACAAACTATCATCTGGTGTCCAAAACAACCTAGCATGTAAAGACACAAAGCCATCCCCCTCAGAGACTGAAAAGATTTGGCATGGGTCCTCAGATCCTCAAAAGTTCTACAGTGATCCATCGAGAGCATCCTGACTGGTTGCATCACCGCCTGGATGGCAACTGCCGGCCTCCGCGCGCACTACAGAGGGTAGTGCTACGGCCCAGTACCTCACTGGGCCAAGCTTCTCGCCATCCAGGACTCTATACGGTGTGTCAGAGGAGGCCCAAAAATTGACAAGACTCCAGCCACCTAGTCATAGACTGTTCTCTCGCTACGCACGGCAAGCGGTTACCGGAGCGCCACGTCTAGGTCCAAAAGGCTTCTTAACAGCTTCTAACCCCCAAGCCATCAGACTACTGAACAGCTAATCAGGGCTACCCAGACTATTTCCGTCACCCATGGCTGAACTCTGCATGATGGCCAAACTTACTTACATGACATATACTCACACTACCAGGCACGGTGACCCACAAGGCTCGGTATCACACCCCTGTATATGCCTCCCTACTGTTATTATTTTACTGCGCTCTTAATTATTTATATTTTTTTTTTTACTTATCTCTTTTTTACTTTTTTCTTAAACTGCATTGTTGGTTAAGGGCTTGTAAGTAAGCATTTCACTGTAAGGTTATATACCGAATACCTGTTGTATTCGACGCATGTGGTTGTTCTGTGTTTACCATGGCAACGGATGGTGTAAACATTCCAATGTCACGCCATCCAGGCACAAATCAGATTCCATTTATTTTTGGACTGCTACCAACACTATCTGCTACTAGCTGCGAACACCTGCGAAATATTCAACCTACTATTTAGCCTACTCTATTTCTATTTGACTGTACTCCATTTTTTGTACATTATATATTCCTTCATCTTATTTGTTTTATTTGTTACTTTGACTTTTCTTGCTTTTTTGTATATATATTGTTTGTATAGTATTTTGTATTGTTTTTGGTCTTGATGATGAAGGGGAGGTCACGGAGGCCGACAGTCTCTAAAGTGAGTGTCAAGTTTCTGTATTTTACTTTCTGTATTTTATGTACTTTGTTTATTTTACTGTTTATAAACTGTTAGTAAAAACTAATCCATGATATTATTAGACTAATGGTAACAAGTTCCCCATCATGGAAAGGTATAATGTTGTTAGTAGACCTGGGTTAAAAAATTATAATAATTATAATACTTTGAGCATTTGCTTAAGCCTGTCTGATGTGCCGGATGGGCAGGGTTCACACTTTTGGGAGTATTCCATTGTTTCCAATGCACCAGGCAAGCTCAATCAAGCACAGATTCAATTAAACTCAGGTCTAGTTGTTACATAGAATAAGAATTATTCATTCTACGGGTTATATTCATTATAATTCTGAATTCTATCCTACTACAACTATCAACCCATAGAATTAGAATGTTCATTCTATGGGTTATTTTCATTCAAATTCTATCCCACTACAACTAACGACCTATATAATTACAATAATTCATTCAAATTCTATATTCTATCACACTACACCTGATGATTCATTCTTTTTTATTCTATGGGTTCTATTTATTCCTATTCTATGGGTTGTTAGTTGAAGTGGGTTCAGACCTGGGTTCAAATACTTTATCTGTGCTCGATTGGCACTCCAAGCAGTATAGAGCAACGCTCAATGTATTTGAAAGATGTCAAATAGTCTTTGAACCCAGGTCTGAGTAGGTCATCACGACCAGCGACTGACTGTTGGGCTGAAATAGGCTGTAAAATGAACATGTACTCTCTTACTGACTTACGGAGTATCATTCTTACCGACTGTCCTTCAGATCAAAGCCATGGAGGAGGATAATCAAAAGGGCTGAGTCTAACCAGAAGAAGGAGGATGAGTTGATGAGGATGGAGGTGGAGTTTAACAGGAGGGAGGAGGTGCTGGAAAGAGGGAGGTGCAGGTGGAGAATAGGGAGGAGTAGGTAATGGTGGAAAGGAGGGAGGTGGAAGAGGAGAGGAAGGAGGTGACCGAGGAAAGGAAGGAGGTGACTGAGGAAAGGAAGGAGGTGGCAGTCGAGAGAAAGAAGGTGGAGGTGGCAAGGAGGGAGGTGGAGAAGAGGGAGAAGACTGCGGGGTAGAGAAGAGAAGATTCTGAGAAGAGAGAGGGGGCAGATCGTTCTGAAAAGCGAGTGGCTGATGGAAGAGTGGATGGCTGTCAGGGGGGAGAAGGAGAATGTTCAGACCTGGGCAGAGGAGGTGAAGGTGAAGGCGGAGGAGGTGGTGGTGAAGGGAGAGGAGGTGGAGAGGGTGAGAGCGCAGCTGGCGAAAGAGAAAGTGTTGACAGAGGGAAAGATAAGGAAGTTGGAGAAGGAGAGGCTGAGGAAGGAGACAGAGGAGGTGGAAAGAAACGGAGTGTGGATGGAGAGAGAGGATGCTTTGGCAAATCAAGCCAAACTCCTGGACATAAAGAATGGAGCGATAGAGAAGAGAGAGAAGGACATCGCAGACAAGGAGTGGATGAGGGAGGAGTTGGAGAAGAGGAAGGAGGAGAAAGAGGCGTTGGTGAAGGAGACAGAGGCTGGTGAGTAGAATGGTCGAGAATGAAAGAGAGATTAAATCATACAGGGACAGTTGCTACGTAGCAATAAGGTCAGGAGTAGAACATTTTATAGCCCTAACCCAACACATAATCACCTTTGACCCTAGAATTAACCTCCCTTTGTCCTGTTTTCATTTTGTTGCAGCTCTCAATGGGTCGTTGTACCCCCTTCTCTTCACCCTTAGGCCCCCTAGGGGGATCCCCCTGCAGCAGGTGTGAAACCTCCTGTCTTCTCCTAAACTCTCCTCAGCTATCCTCCCATCCCCTCACCTCTCCCCCCTCTTCCCATCCAAAATAAACATGTATATTTTCATTGAACATTTTGTTTGTGATTACTTTGAAATAGATTGTTGGTCTAGATAGATCTACTGCATATTCTAGTTAGATGTCTAGTAAGTTGGTCTGGATCTACAATATAGACAGTGTTGGGGAAGCTACTCTGAAGATATACAGTACCAGTCAAAAGTTTGGACACACCTACTCATTCAAGGGTTTTTCTTTATTTTTTACTATTTTCTACATTGCAGAATAATAATAATAATAGTGAAGACACTAATGCCAAGAGTGTGCAAAGCTGTCATCAAGGCAAAGGGTGGATATTTGAAGAATCTCAAATATAAAATATATTTTGATTTGTTTAACACTTTTTTGGTTACTACATGATTCCATATGTGTTATTTCATAGTTTTGATGTCTTCACTATTATTCTACAATGTAAAAAATAGTTAAAATAAAGAAAAACCCTTGAATGAGTAGGTGTGTCCAAACGTTTGACTGGCAGTGTAGTTTACCAAGCTACCAATTACTGCACACTGGAAGAAGTTAAGCTACACTAAATCTACCCTTAAGAAAAATATAGTTTACTTAACTAAAGTTACTAAATCTGAAATGTCATAGACTACAAATTGCAAGAACAGATCACTCTGGAGTCAGAAGTTAACAGAATGTGTAATTTAGCCTATTAAACACAAAAACGATGTTTCAAGTGAGAATTAGACAGGTCTGCTGTTGAAAAATAACAAATGTTTTATAATATTTTTGCTAAAAAAGTAGTCTGTAGTTCCAGTAGTTAGCTACACCACTACATGGCAAAATAAAGTCATTAACTACTCAAACCACTACCAAGATTTTAATTTAGTTCAACTACCACCAAGCTACTGGAAAATGTAGTTACATTACTGTTCACTACTCCCCAACACTGAATATAGACGTCTAGTTGGTCTAGAACTATATTCTAGTTAGGTGACTATAGCCTGACATATCATTAGTGTCAATAGCCACAAGTCAAAATATGAATGAACAAAGCATATACAGTAGGCCTATGTATATTCTGTTGACAGTGATTCTGGTCGGATGTCCCTTTTAATAATTTATAATTAAGCGATACTCTTACAATGTAACTCTAATAGAACAAAACAATGTTTGAACATAATGTTTCAAAACAAAGACAACCAAAATGGTGGTGACCATTAAAGTATAGTGAGTTTTGTGCTGCTTGTCATAAGAGTGACTGAAAACTCAGAGACTCAGAAGTTGAAAAGACTCAACAGAAACAGCCTGCTAAGAGAACAGTCTGAGAGGAGGGAGACACAGTAATCCCACCTACAAAAGCAACATTCTTTCCCCCTTCTCCGACCTGCCAAAAATACACCCAGTCACTCCTCTAGTAATCTTGTTCCAAATCAAATTCAACTGAATTAGATTAATTGAGAGTCTGTGACAGTAAAGGCCCAAATGAATCACAATGTGCAGTAAAAGTTACGGAAACGTTCTAATTCTTTCCAACTCTCTCCTACCCTCCCTCTACCGCTACACTGAGTGTACAAAACATTAAGAACACCTTTCTAATATTGAGTTGCACCTAGGGCTGTTGCGGTGACAATATTACCGCCACACTGGCAGTCACGAGTCATGGACGGCAGTCAAGTTCTACGTGACCGTTTAGTCACAGTAATTATGCTTCTCCAAGCTCTGATGCTGCTGATGGTCATTAGTAGCCTACCAAACTTGCTAACTGCCTGGTACTCAGCACTCTATTGTCCCTCTAATCATTCTGACATCAATGCAAATGTAATCGAAAATCGAATCAAACACTTAATGAGAGGCTATGAGCTCATGCTGCGCAACATTTCTATAGGCATCACAGAGTGATGGCCTCTATTAAAAAGAGGAGGATCCCATCATCTTTCTATAGGCTGGGCCTACTATATTAATTTCTCAACTTTCCTAATATCAAGCACATTGCTTCTCTTTACAACAGGAGTATAGCCTACCTGGCTGGCATGAAAATGAACCACGGGAAAAGCGTCCTCCATTTTTTTTAGGGGATATTACGGCCACACAAAGGGAAATTCGGGGCACTATCAAGTGCTTGTCAAATTGTGAATGATGAAGTGTGTACAGCCTGCCCAAAAAACAAAGCAGAGCTCATGCCTTTCATGCAACTTTTTTCAAATCATCATTAGAGTCACATCATGAAGCCTTAGAATGTTTTAAAAATCTAAACATATAGCCCAACATTTGTATCACAACTAAAGTTACATAAATAACTCTAAATGAAGCATTTAGGAGTACCTGTTTCTTTGTTAGCCTCTCAATTCAGAATAGCTGCATGTGCGTACTCCCTCAAATTGTTTGGAGAAAATATCCTTTCTATTTTATTCAGTTATGTTCAATTGTATTCTTCATACTATAAAATAATATAAAATAATGCCACAAGCAAATCTTGTCTGCTAAATGAACTAGCGTAGGCCACAGCCATATGGCATAGCCAGATCAGGGCCTAACATAAGGACAACTCAGAGTATGCTATTCTGTTCTTCTGAAGTAGACTACCTTTTATTCATATCATGTTTCTTTAGACCTGTCTAAAATAAATAACAGATTTATTAGACTTTTTAAAATGTAGATATATCAGTGGCTTGTAGGCTATGCTTGGAAGCCACTGATTCAGACCTTTGGAACATCTACATTTTAAAAAGTCTAATAAATCCATGTAATATAGGCGACACCATCACAATAAATCCGTTATTTATTTTAGACAGGTCTAAAGAAACATGATATGTTTATGGTAATTAACGGTCAATTACGTGAGACCAGCAGTTATTTGCTTGACATTCATCGGCTGACAAAATGTCATGACCGCCACAGCCCTAAGCCTGGCCCCTACTACCATACCCCGTTCAAAGGCACTTAAAAATGTTGTCTTGCCCATTCACCCTCTGAATGACACATGTACACAATCCATGTCTCAATTGACTCAAGGCTTAAAATATCCTTCTTTAACATGTCTCCTCCCCTTCATCTACAATGATTGAAGTGGATTTAACAAGTGACATCAATAAGGGATCATAGCTTTCACCTGGATTCACCTGGTCAGTCTACGTCATTGAAAGAGCAGGTGTCCTTAATGTTTTGTATACTCAGTGTATATCTCCTGTGGCTCTTATTCACACTTTCACCTAACTCCATCCCTGCCTCCCATTCTCTCTCTCCCTCTCTCTATACTCCCTCCCTCATTCCTTCTCTCCTTGTGTTATAGTGTCTCTCATTGCTATTGTTGGCACTCTCACCGTACTCCACCATACACCCGCCCCCCTTTACCTCCACTCTCCCTACACACCTCCCTCTCTCACACCTTCATTCCTCTCACCAAGTAGTATAATTTGAGGGACTTGTCTATGTTGTCACCCTATTGGTCAGCAGGTAGCCTAGCCGTTAGAGTGTTGGGTGAGTAACCTAAATGTCGCTGGTTTGAATACCCGAGCCGACAAGGTGAACATCTGTCGATGTGCCCTTGAGCAAGGCACTTAACCCTAATTTGCTCTAAGGGCGCCGTACTACTATGGCTGATCCTGTAAAACAACACATTTCACTGCACCTATCCGGTGTTTGCCTCCCATTCCCTCTCTCAACACTCTCCCTCTCCTTCCCATCCCCTCCTTTCCTCCTTCCCTCTCTAGAGAATAATAAATAATAATAAAGTAGTACTCTGCTCTTCCACTCTGTCTATGCTGTCAGCCTATTGCGTTGTTGCCTCCCATTCCCTCCCTCCCCTCCCTTCCTCTCACCCTCCGCCCTGTCCTTACCGAGTAGTGTCTCTTCCGGGTCTTGTCCACGCACTTGCCCTGGAGGCAGATGCGGCCCTTGCCACACGGCGTGCCCTCCACGGCGGGCAGCTTCTTGGTCAGGCACACCATCTGGCCCTGGCGTATCACTGCGCACCACAGGCGGGCGCACACGTCCATGCCCGGGCAGACTGTGTACTCAGGCCCAAACGCCAGGCGGCACTGGCGCACAGCGTCGTAGCTCTGGCCGGGCAGCTCCTCTGAGCCGAGCATGGGCTGGCGAGGAGTGTCCAGGAGACACTCGGCTGTAGAGGGGGAGAGGGGAGGAGGAAAAAGGAGGAGGGGGGGAAGAGGATGGAATGAGGGGAGAAGGAAGGTTAGAAGAAGAGAAGGGGAGGGAGAAAGAGGTTACAAAGGAGGGGAAAGGAGAAAGGGGAAGGAGAAAGAAGGAGGCAGGGAGAGGTGTTGTGGGTGGCAGAGAAGAGGGGGAGAGGATGGAATGAGGAGAAAGGGGTAAGTGGAAAGTGGAAAGGATAGAAAAATTAGAGGATGGACAGATCAGTGCATTGCTTTTTTGTGTACATGGTGTCCAATGCCAAAGGCTGTTTGTCTGTCTGGTTTATCAAACCTCCGATCATTCTAATCCGCCACTCGATAGGTGTGAAGGGACATTGGATTCAATTTGGCAAAGACAACAGCACATGAACTCTGTACAGTAGGTGAGCCCAACCCTCAATGTTTAACCAAGTAAGTCATTGAGGTATTCTCCTCACTTTTACAATTAAGACTTGGTTACCTCCCTAACCATTAGTTCAGGGCTAGTCAACTCTAGGCCTGGAGTGCCAAAATACTTCTGGATTTCATTCTCTCCTCTCCTCCCCGCTCTCCTCTTCTCATCCCCCTCTATCCTATCCTGCCATTCTTCCCCGCTCTCCTCCTCTCATCCCCCTCTCCATGTCTTACCGTTGCCATCGTCAAAGAAGTCAGTGATGGTAGCTGAGGTGCAGCGGCTCCAGGGTTTGGAGGCGTCGATGGAGGTCAGGATGGACGACATGAGACGCTTGTCCGCGCTGGCGCCGAAACGCTCTTCGCAGAACTTGGAGTCGTCGTGGGACAGGCCCAGCAAGTGACCTTTGGTTCACAGACAGAGAGATGGACAGGCAGGCAGACAGAAAGACAAATCATTTTGGGGGGGTGTTTGTTTACACAATGAGCATTGTATTCGTGAGAGTGTGTATCTGTATTTGTATTTATTAAGGATCCCCATTAGCTGCTGCCAAGGCAGCAGCTACTCTTCCTGGAGTCCAAACAAGATTAAGGCAACTACATCACAAAAAAATTATAAAACCGTACAACATACAACACTTTATTATACCACTACTCTATCATTACAAATCTACAATACAAAATGTATAATACCACAATACAACAATATTACAACATTACAATGTACGTGTGTTAGCGTGTGTGCGTATGCCTGTGTTTGTGTCTCTTCACAGTCCGCTTCGTTCCATAAACTGTAGTTGTATCTGTTTTCTTAAATCAGATTTTACTGCTCGCTTGAGTTACTTGATGTGGAATAGAGTTCCATGTATTCATGGCTCTATGTAGTACTGTGCGTTTTCCAGAGTCTGCTCTGGACTTGGGGACTATGAAGAGACCCCTGGTGACAGTGATAGCAATAAAGTTTGGATGTGTTTGCATGTGCTTGCGTACACTAAAAAATGGCAGGTGTGTATGTGTGCATGCAGGTGTGTGAACGGTGCCCACCTATCTCGTGTGCCACTGTGAAGGCGGCATGGAGTCCGTCGTCCTCTATGACGGCACAGCTCCTCTCTGGTGAGCAGATGGTGCCAACGTCGGCCATGCCCAGTGTGTCACACGAGTGGTGCCCACACAGGTCCTATACAGGGGGCACAAGCAAATGGGTTGGTGGAAAGGGTGAAATGAGTTAGTGAAATAAGTTAGTGTAAAGGGTGAAATAAGTTAGTGTATAGGTAGAACACACACATATACTGTAGGACTCACACACACCAAAACACAGACAATGCAAGGACAAGCTGGATAGCTTACAGATGACAAATGAGAGAAGATCAGATGTCAATAGACCTTATTTGACCCAAAATTGTTGATGCTTTGAGTTCACTCTATTTCTTCACCTCTCTCTCTCTGCTCTCCGCGCTCGAGATTCGAGAGTTCTCTATCTGTAGATATGCTCGTCCGCTATTCGCTCTTCTTCTCTTCCTCTCTAGGCTCGCTCTCTCTCTCTCTCTCTCTCTACTCTCTCTCTCTCTCTCTCTCTCTTCTACTCTCTCTCTCTCTCTCTCTCTCTCCTCTCTCTCTCATATAAGGTACTGTGTATGGACCAGTGTTCCAGCTCCCACACAGATCTATACAGATGATGCCCAGAGGGATTGAAGCTACTCTGCTGTGTAGAGGAATCAATCAGTCACTCAAACACTGTGTCCCTATGCCATCGACTCTCTCGTTCTCAGAAACACACACACACATGCACGCAAGTGGACACACACATGCAGACACACAAGTATGCATGCACACACAGACACACACAGGCATGCAAGCGTGCACACACACAAACGCACACACTCTCACAGTATACATACAGTGTGTACATTGTTTAATGTAAAAGGACACGTGTCATGTATGAATGAGATAAGGGGCGTGCGCGAGGGCAAACACACACACACACTCCTCTCCTCCCCACCCACCACCCCAGGCCCCCCTCCCACACACACCCTGGGGACAGGATGAATCCCTTGTTAAGTGATGTTGACAGGTCCGCTGTGCCGTGTGTGAGAGACTCTCTGGGGTGTGTATTTACTCGTTTCGGATGGAACACTTTAGGAACAAACCCGTCTGTGTTCTGTTCTGGGCTCTCCAACACATGACCAACAGGGGGGAACGCCTCATACACTTACTCTAGACACAAACTCTGACCGCGTCCGAAATGGCACCCTATTCCCTACATAGTGCACTACTTTTGACCAGGGTCCATAGGGCCATTAGTGCCATTAGTGCCTATTCCCTATATGGTGAACTACTTAGGGCTCTGGTCAAAAGTAATGCACTATGTAGGGAATAGGGTGCCATTTCGGACACACTTGCTTTAGACAGAAACTCTTAAAAGAGAAAGTCCCCTACTTACTGAAGGAGACATAAAAACAAAGTCAAATACAGTCCAGTCCGATTGCATTCCACTAAATGCATTGTGTTAGTTATCGTTAAGATTTTGCCCCCTGATGTGTGTGTAGATGGAGAGTTGTGTTTTGAACTCCTCGTTGTCACTATCAGATGAAATAGCCAATCGAGAGGGACATTGTAGAAAGAGTTCATCTCACTAGCCAATCGTGAGGGACATTGTAGAAAGAGTTAATCTCCCTAGCCAATTGGGAGGGATTTTGTAGAACAGGGTTTCCCAAACTCGGTCCTCGGGACCCCAAAGGGTGCACGTTTTGGGTTTTGACCTCCACTACACAGCTGATTCAAATAATCAACTAAGCATCAAGCTTTGATAATTTTTATCAGCTGTGTAGAGTTAGGGCAAAAACCAAAATGTGCACCCCTTGGGGTCCCGAGGTCCCGAGGACGCTGTTGTAGAAAGAGTTAATCTCACTAGCCATTCGGGAGGGACATTGTAGAAAGAGTTAATTTCACTAGCCAATCAGGAGGGACATTGTCTCTCTTTCTCTCTCACTTTCACTATCTTTTGTTCACTTTAACTTGTTGTCCCAAACTCTCTCTGCCTCCCACTCCCCCTTTCACTCTGTCCCTGTCTCTCTCATGTTCCCTCTGTCTCTCTCACTTTCACTCTGTCCCTGTCTCTCTCATGTTCCCTCTGTCTCTCTTTTTTCTCCTCTCCCTCCCGCTCTCCAGTGTGTTCTCAGCTTGGTATTTTCCCTTTTCTCCTAAGGGGCTTTCACAGACATATGAGAGCGTGAGCGAGAGAAAGAAAGAGGGAGGGCGAGAAAGAGAGAGCAAGATAAATAAAGTTATGGAATCAGACACCTGGGGAAAGGGATGGGAGGATGGAGGAAATGAAAAGAGAGGAGGAAAGAATGGAGGGATTGGGCAGTTCTGGAAATAATGAGCAAAATAACCTCAGCACTGGTGGTAAGGTATTTAGGTCAGTAGATGATCATATAAGAAGACTGCGTGTGTCTGTGTGAGAAAGTGAGTAAGGGTGTGTTTGTGTGTGTGTGACATGCACCTGCGCGCATGTGTGTGAGTCTCGGGTCAACCAGGGGAACACACCCTAGCTGCGTTCGAAAATCACACTGCCACTCTGAGTAAAGGAGAGTGTCAATCACAGACACACACACTGTCAGTTTGTAGCGTTAGTGTGCATGCACGCACAAACACTGCTAATACTGTATCATGGAGAGAGTCCAGAGAGACTAACCACAACAACTTGTCACTCAGAAATCAGGGTCAACAATGTAAGAGTCAATTATCCGTGAAATGAATGGCCTGCCAATCATCGGTGAGAGTGACATTAGCCTATTAAATGGCAATGGTACTAGGCTAGTCAGGCCCCGATGGTCCCGACAAAACTCCTGGCCCAGTGACCTATGACACACATTTAAGCGGTTACCTTTACAATAACATGATAGTATCCTTCATATACAACCATATCAGCCTATCAGAGAGACTGTGATTGTCATTCCAGAGGTAGGATACCGTCCCAGACCTTAACTGCTAGCTGGTCATTTAAGTTCATGGCATTGTTTTGTCTACTGAACAAATCAGATAGCAACAGACAGACCCCCTTCCAAAACATCCATATATCCATACTCTATCATTCCAACTCCAGTGCACATGCACACACTCTATCATATTTGCTGTGGAGAATTTAGTATGTACGCATGTGTATTATTCGATTTGAACAGAGCATGTCCTATGTGCTCTCCTGTCTCTTCTCCTCTTCGCTCATGTTTGTTGTGAGTGTGTATGTGTGAGAGTGTGTGTTTACAGTATGTGTGTGTGCGTGTCTGCTTACAGTGTTTCTGCATTCAGTGTGTGTGTGTGTGTGCTTTTACATTGTGTGTGTGTACTGTGTGTACATTGTGTGTCTGCTTAAAGTGTGTGTGTGTGTGTGTATGCATGTGTGCGAACATGCGCGCATGTGTTTAAGGTGTCTGAGTTTCCCGATCCTCTCCTCCCATAGGTAGGCCTATAGCTCCTCTGTTTGTTATAACAGACTGGGGTATTTCACAGGTCCTATATTTCATGCTTATATAAACTCTGCCATTCAACTTTCGACCCATCGCTCGGTCCACGTGATTGGTCAGGAACATCTTGTTACGTGCCATTGCCACCTAGTAACAGCGTGAGATAGGCTACTCTGCATCACAGATCATGAATGAACTTTTCAGACCCGGCACCTGCATAAGGTGATTGTCATGTGTGTTTTGTGTATAAAGTGATAATGACCTAGGTGTTATTGGTTTGAGCAAGCCACTGGGCTGCGCACCACTGGGGTGACATGTCTGTCTGTTGAAACTATCAAGGACATTTGCAGGGTACTGTGCTTTAACATAGAGACAACAATAATTGAACTTCTCATTATTCACATAAAGAATAAGAGGGCGGATCTGATCCTAGATCAGTAGTGCTACTTTGGGACGTTTCGCGAATATGTGCCCTTAATCTTCAACAAATACGTAACCTTCAACAAAAAGGAGATGTAGCCTAGCATTTCTATGCTTTCTTGGCTCTCTGCATACACACTCTCTCGTTCTCAGAGTTCTCCCTCTGTCCATCTCTCTCTACCTATCTCTTTCTCAGAGTCCACACACACTCTCGCTCCCTCTCTCTTTCTCGGTGTCCTCTCTACCTCTCTCCTCTCTATATCACTCTAGCCCCCTCTATCTTTCTTTCTCTCCCTCTCTCTCTGGCAATAAGGAAACCTTAAACATGTATGTCCTAGTGCCTGAGGGAACAATCAAAGTAAGAGTCTACAATAAACATGATCATCTCTAGGATGTAATATTTATGTTGAATATTTCCATGCTGCATATTCATGTAATTAGTTATGTTTTCTTGGCTATTTCAAGTTGATTCTTTCTGGGCTCTTTCTATCTCTCTCTATGTCAGGGTTCCGTAACTGGCGGCCCGCGGGCCAATTTTATTTGGCCCTGTCACGGACGTTGAAGGACGGGTCAGACCAAGGCGCAGCGTGAAATGCATACATGTTTATTTTATAAAATAAACACACGAACAAAAACAACAAAACAACGTAACATGAAGTCCTCAGGCTAAACACAATACAAGCCTATACACGGAACAAGAGCCCACAAACACAGTAGGCAACTGAGCTACCTAAGTATGATCCCCAATCAGAGACAACGAGCGACAGCTGTCTCTGATTGGGAATCACACCCGGCCAAACATAGAAAACCAATACCTAGATTCTACACATAGAAAACATAACATAGATACTAAACATGCACGCCCTGACCAAACTAACTAGAGTTCTATAGGTCAAGGCGTGACAGGCCCCCCAAGTTTTCTGAATAAAAAACTAACGTTTTTTTTGTATTACTTTTGTTATTGTTGGACATGAACTGTAAAAACACCAGCAAATCAACTCCAAGTGATTTTAATTTAGGAAATATTATTCTCACGCATAATAGAGAGATATAAAGTTGAAGTCGGAAGTTTACATACACCTTAGCCAAATACCTTTAAACTCAGTTTTTCACAATTCCTGACATTTAATCCTAGTAAAAATTCCCTGTTTTAGGTCAGTTAGGATCACCACTTTATTTTAAGAATGTGAAATGTCAGAATAATAGTAGAGAGAATGATTTATTTCAGCTTTAATTTATTTAATCACATTCCCAGTGGGTCAGAAGTTTACATACACTCAATTAGTACTTGGTAGCATTGCCTTTAAATTGTTTAACTTGGGTCAAACGTTTTGGGTAGCCTTCCACAAGCTTCCCACAATAAGTTGGGTGAATTTTGGCCCATTCCTCCTGACAGAGCTGGTGTAACTGAGTCAGGTTTGTAGGCCTCCTTGCTCGCACACACTTTTTCAGTTCTGCCCACAAACTTTCTATAGGATTGAAGTCAGGGCTTTGTGATGGCCACTCCAATACCTTGACTTTGTTGTCCTTAAGCCATTTTGCCACAACTGGAAGTATGCTTGGGGTCATTGTCCATTTGGAAGACCCATTTGCGACCAAGCTTTAACTTCCTGACTGATGTCTTGACATGTTGCTTCAATATATCCACATAATTTTCCTTCCTCATGATGCCATCTATTTTGTGAAGTTCACCAGTCCCTCCTGCAGCAAAGCACCTCCACAGCATGATGCTGCCACCCCCGTGCTTCACGGTTGGGATGGTATTCATCGGCTTGCAAGCAACCCCCTTTTTCCTCCAAACATAACGATGGTCATTATGGCACAACGGTTCTATTTTTGTTTCATCAGACCAGAGGACATTTCTCCAAAAAGTATGATCTTTGTCCCCATGTGCAGTTGCAAACCGTACTCTGGCTTTTTTATGGCGGTTTTGGAACAGTGGCTTCTTTCTTGCTGAGCGGCCTTTCAGGTTATGTCTATATAGGACTCGTTTTACTGTGGATATAGATACTTTGTACCTGTTTCCTCCAGCATCTTCACAAGGTCCTTTGCTGTTGTTCTGGGATTGATTTGCACTTTTCGCACCAAAGTACGTTCATCTCTAGGAGACAGAACGCGTCTCCTTCCTGAGCAGTATGACGGCTGCGTGGTCCCATGGTGTTTATACTTGCATACTATTGTTTGTACAGATGAAGGTGGTACCTTCAGGCGTTTGGAAATTGCTCCCAAGGATGAACCAGACTTGTGGAGGTCTTGGCTGATTTCTTTTGATTTTCCCATAATGTCAAGCAAAGAGGCACTGAGTTTGAAGGTAGGCCTTGAAATACATCCACAGGTACACCTCCAGTTGACTCAAATTATGTCAATTAGCCTATCAGAAGCTTCTAAAGCCATGACATCATTTTCTTCAGTTTTCCAAGCTGTTTAAAAGCACAGTCAATTTAGTGTATTTAAACGTCTGACCCACTGGAATTGTGATATAGTGAATTATAAGTGAAATAATCTGTCTGTAAACAATTGTTGGAAGAATTACTTGTGTCATGCACAAAGTAGATGTCCTAACCGACTTGCCAAAACTATAGTATGTTAACAAGAAATTTGTGGAGTGGTTGAAAAACAAGTTTTAATGACTCCAACCTAAGTGTATGTAAACTTCCGACTTCAACTGTATGTGATCATATACAAATGTAAGCAAGGTTTGAAATGATTATGTTTAAGTCAAATGCTGTATCTGTTTGGGCTTCTTGCGGTCAATTTGCAGTTTACAAATTATTTACAATTATGTCCCAGCCCCCTGACCATCCGCTCAAGAAAAAAATTGGCCTGCTGCTAAATCTAGTCGATGATCCCTGCTCTATGTTCTGTCAGTAGAGAGCTCTTCTCCTCACAGTGAGGCTTTGTGTACTGTCCTGGACCCTGGCAAGAGCAGTCATGCGTCCGGTCACACTGTGACGTAACACCTAATAATCACACACAGGCACGCACATACACACACACGCGCATGCACGCACCCACGCACACACAAATGCACACACATATAAATGCATACACACACAGAGTCCCCTCAATGTGTCTCTTGTTCTGTCCTGGTGCGGCATGCAAAGAGCCCGGTGACAATGGCACACGGGTCAGCTCACTCAGGACACGGGGGGTGTTGGGACTGGAGTAATTGGACCCATGCATGAATAACCCCATGTTCCAATAAACTCCCCCCCTCTACATCGCTAAAGAATGGATGGGTCTCGTCTCTGACTGTGAGAATGCAGTCTGAAGATGGATTTGACTTCCATTGAATGAGCGTGACTCACCCAAGCTACGACACTGACTTCTTTGATAACAAGCTACAGCAATGAAAGACAACTGAATGGAAGGGTTGTGTTTTAAAGATACAGTGATCTAACACTACAGCCAATCATGGAATCAGAGTTCAAATCCTATTGGCTGAGGGGGTTCACTGACCTTTGACCTTTTGATAAGTCATGACCCACTCCAAACACCTTGCAGGTGTTATTATGTTGTTATGCTATGGAGTTGTTACTGTTGTTATGACCTGACACTTGCCCCTGGGTAGTGCCAGCGCCAGGTATCTCCGTGCCCGTTGTGCCAACCACTGTGCCAACCACGCCACCCTAACCCCCGCAGGTGACACAGAGGGGATGCACTGCCAAGTGGGTGGGAGGTCCATGACCATGCAGGTGGTGGTGGTAATAGTTGGCACACCGTGCTCTGCCAACCTGCCAAGCCCAGGTATGCTCACGTGGCGCTGGCAACAGGATCCACCCGGGCACCGGTGCCAACATAAGTTACCTCGGTATTCCCTGGTTTTGGCACCCGTCTCTAGCACAAGACCTTGCATTATTTCATTACACGCACCACAAGCCTGAGGCAAGAAAGACACCTGACACCTCAACCACAGCCGACTGACCAAGAAACCACACCAGAGGGGTGAAAAATGAGATATATGTGTTGAGATATATGTGTGTGTGTGCTCAAGATTGACTTCGAAATTGGAGGTATGTCCATGTCCTGAGGACTTCCGAAATGCCTTCACAACTGGCCACTAGGGGCAACAGTGAGCGCTATTACCATCATAATCCCATGATTTGGATCCATAGGTCATATATTCAATCTCTGTGGTCATATGTTCAATCTCTGTGGTAGACACTAATTTTAACCCTTAACTTAACCATTTGGAATGAAGGCCTAATGTTTTAACCCTATCCAAAACCTTAACCCTTAACTTCGAAATGTAATGTTTGTAGAAATGGAAAGATGCGGAGCAGGAGGAGTCAACCCAGGGTGCCAAAAACAATTTGAAATTTGACATTTGGAGCAACTTCGAAATTTGATGTTTGGAGAAACTTGGATATAGGTCAGAATCTGAAGTTAAATTGTTAAAACCATGTGATCTTGTATAAACGAGTGTGGTCTTGGTCAATGTAGGCTATTGGTTTTCAGAGGGGTAGATGTGGTTGCTTTTTTGACAGCCCCAGCTCTGCTCAGAGAAAAAATGTAGGGGGGAAAAAATGGAAGGAAAAAATGAAGGAAGAAATACATAGGGCTGAAGTCTGGCTGCGGTTTCTGGTTGAGAGAAACATTCTGAACTCTAACCAGCAGCTGATTTAAACTACATCCCTTCAACCCTGGAAGAATGTGCGTGCGCAGCTGGTGCGAGAGATCACAAGGGCTCGAGACATTGGTTGTCAGGGGACTGGGAGAGTCTGAGACAGAGGAGGCTGCCCAGAAAAACACAAGCGGAGGAAACGCTCTTTTATAAGACACGCGCGAGAGCCCACAGAGAGGAGGGAGGGTGTGCAAGACAGAGAGAGAGACATAGAGAGAGAGAGGCACACGCCCTCAATTTGGTAACACTAAACCGAAGCAGATTTCTGCTTGATAACAACAATGTAATAAACATATTTTGGTTCCAAATGACTTTCCTGAATAACAGGTACGAGTACAGAAACGCATGCAGTACCATAATAACAACAAACACTGGCGTCATGCTTGGCGTAACACCTGAGTGTAAAATGCGCTCTAGTCCGGTGAGTGGGAAGGGATGGACCTGGCGCGCAGTGGTATGTGTGTGTTGGCCAGGTGATGGGGGGGAGTGCGAGTCGGACTCTATGGGTTTCTTTATTTATTTACCTGCCTGGTGAAAAGGATGGCGGCGTCGTGGTGGTGCTGGTTGTCGTCGTCCAGTGGGTTCTGCTGGTTCTGCCACTTGCAGAAGCTCTTGAGTGTGGCGGCTGCGTTCTTGGACACCTCCAGCCCCTTCTCCTTCTCCGTGACGATGGCCACCTTCACAACGGACAGACGGATGGGGTTCTCGATGCTGGCATGGCTGTACAACTTGGAAGCGATGGAGGCCAGCGTGAGCAGGTAGTGGTGCAGGTCCTTGCCATACTTCTTGGACATGGACTCGTCTGCAACCAGCAGGAGCTCCACGTGCCTGGCGCGCGAAACCGACCTCTTGCGCCGACTTCCCAGTGAGGGTGGAGAGGCACGTTTGGAGAACTGCGTCCACCATCTTCTGCGCTCCTTGCCCCCGTCCAGGGTGACATCGTGCCGGTCGCGTTTCCCTTTCCCTCGGCCCTTACGCTGGTGTTTCCTCGATGCATCCATGCGCCCGCGCCCTCCCTTGGTCCCACAGCTCTCGCTCACAGGCATGGCTTCGAAGCTGAAGCTCTCCCGCGTGAAGTAGTGGAGGGCGCTCTCCGCAGCCTTGTCCTGCAGCGAACGCTCGTCGTTATCGTGTCCCTTGGTTCGGATGAGGGGTGTGATTGTGTAGCGCGCGTGTTTCAACGCGAAAAAGCCCTCTAGACCCCCACCACAGAGGCTGAAAACCGCCAGGGACTCGGGGTTGGAGTCCACGGTTCCCCGGTAAACACACTCCCGGTTCAAAGGCGCGGCGCCTTCTCCCGCCCCCATCAGGGTCATCACATATTTCGGACTGAAGTGATGTGACAAAATGGACTCATCCCTCTCCATATCTAACTGAAACCTTCTCCCATCCATGTAAAGCAGGTAACCAACCTTCCCACCCCCATGGTAAATCCGATCGACGTTCTGCACAACACCCTCTTTTGCAGGTGGAGCGAAAGCCCTGAAAGTAGTGAGACCCGCGGCGAGCACGGCATCGCAGCCCGTATGCAACTCCACGATGCACAGCAAAAGAAACACCAACATGCCTCCAGCAAAAGCACAAAAGACACCGGTCATCTTTACCCCAAAACAAGCAGTGCACGGTGAAACATATATATTCCAACTAAAACAGTCATGGAAACGAAGAACAAACAATTTTCAGAACAGGTCCCGTTTGAATGCGCATGGTCTCGATATCCAGCATTTCCATGAAAAGTGTAAAAACGCAGAAAAATTAAGGCATCGGAGGGAATGGAAGAAAAGACACAGCGGAGATGGAAGAAAGGAGCAGCGGAGAAACCGGCTTGAGGACTGAGCTGAACTTGGAGAACAAAACACAAAGTTTCCTCTTAATAGAGGAGAGAAAAAAAGTCCTGCCCCTTTGCACTCACTCTCCACACCACCCCCATCGTCTCTCTCTCTGCTGCGTTCTCGTGTCTGCCGAAATCAAAGCAAAGTCAAGTGCAGGAGGCTTCGGAGTCTGCCGCCCCACTCAACTCCACTTTTTGGTCCTGTCCCCGGCGCCGAGACGCAAACAGGAGTGTAAAGGAGCACTAGAACAAAGCATTTTTCTGTAATGTCACCCATATCTTCAGCCTTCCCACTAGTTGGGACAGCAAGAGCGTAGCAGTGTATGTCGTGTGCCTTTTTAACGCGCGAGCATGTGTGTAGTCTAAATATGATCGCGCGCAAGGGTTCAATTCGAAGGGGTCATCCCTCAAAATCTTCTTCCTTTGTGAGATTGAAAAAAAGACACTCGTGTTTTGGAAGGAGATATAAAAAAAAAACGTGCCGTCATTTACAGTCACAAGGAGTCACTCTATGGACTGCTATAGAAAACCAGCGCTATGCTACAACGCTCCAGATACCCTAGTCGCCCGCGGGTTTAGCCTACTCACTGTACAGAATAACGGCTTTTGTGCGATGGGAGCAGGGGCATTCACTCTGGTCTCTGTGTGGGTCTATTGGAGGTCATTTCACTCAAGCGTGACATCATCACTACTAGCAGCCACACAATGTCAACAATAACAACAACACCAGCCACCACCACAACTCATAAGCTTCCGTTCTTGTTATAGTAGGCCAAATAGAAAATAGCACTCTATCTCAGCATTTAAATGGTGTATTTAACACCTGCCTGTTATTTTTAAAGGTTCTAAGTGTGGCTCTTTTAATAATTGAAGGGGAAACTGTAACAGTGGGCTGGAGAGTGTCTGAAGTCAGAATTGTACAACTGTAGAGATGGATAATTTATGGCATTTTCAGAATAGAAGTTCTCACAGTTCAACTGTCTCAAAAAGTGTGTGTGTCCTGTCCCATGTTCACAATGCTGAGCACACGTCTTTCTCTTTCTGTGCGGGAGGTATTTCTTCAGGATCCTGACGTCGAAGAGTCGCTGTCGTGTCTTCTTCACCACGGTGTCCATGTGGTTTGACCATTTCCGCTCCTCTGAGATGTGTACGCTGAGGAACTTGACGTTCTTGACTGTCTCCACGGCGGCCCCGTTGATGAGTATGGGGGCATGCCCAGCCTGGTTCCTCCTGAAGTCCACAATCAGTTCCTTTGTTTTACTGATGTTGAGGGAGAGGTGGTTTACCTGGCACCACGCCATCAGAGTGCCTACCTCCACCCTGTAGGGCATCTCGTCATTGTTGGTAATCAGACCTACTACTCTTGTGTCATCAGCAAACTTGATAATGGAGTGGGAACTGTGTGAGGCCACGCAGTTGTGGGTATACAAGGAGTACAGGAGGGGAAGAGGATGGTGGCATCGTGGTGGTGCTGGTTGTCGTCGTCCAGTGGGTTCTGCTGGTTCTGCCACTTGCAGAAGCTCTTGAGCGTGGCGGCTGCGTCCTTGGACACCTCCAGCCCCTTCTCCTTCTCATGGACTTGTTTGCGACCAGCAGGAGCTCCATGTGCCTGGCGCACGAAACCGACCTCTTGCGCCGACTTCCCAGTGAGGGTGGAGAGGCACGTTTGGAGAACTGCGTTCACCATCTTCTGCTGTGCGCTCTGCTGTGCTCCTCGCTCCCGGGGAACTGTGTGAGGCCACGCAGTCGTGGGTATACAAGGAGTACAGGAGGGGACTGAGGATGCACTCTTGTGGGGCACCTGTGTTGAGAATCAGAGTCGAAGAGGTTATGTTGCCTACCTTCACAACCTGGGGGCGGCCCTTCATGAAGTCTAGGACTTAGTTGTATAGGGAAGAGTTCAGTCCCAGGTCCATGAGGAGGGACTGTTTTGGGACTGTCAGTGTGTGTGTGTCTTGGCAATAGATTGTGTCTTCAGGGAAGTGTGTGTGTGCCAGGGGTGTCATGCCTGTGTGTTTGGAGAGAGCTGATGCATACATAGCAGTCTAGGGCCAAACTCTCAGAGGGGAAGTGTGACTCTTCATGCATCTCCAGCTCTGTGTTTGTTTACTAGTTTACTGGTGGCTGAGTCACAGAACAGTGCTTTCCCATAGGAGTCATCAAAACACACAGAGCGAGAGAGAGCGAGAGAGGGAAGGAGATATGGAAACTTCCTTCTGTTTAGCCGCAAACACCCACGCACGCACCCATACACGCACACACACACACACACACACAAGCACCCACACACGCACACACGCACACACGCACACACACACACACAGTGTTGTAAAGCTAACCTTGTGGGGACACACAATTCAGTCCCATTCAAAATCAAATTTTCCCTAACCCCTAACCGTAAACCTAACCCTAACCCTAACCGTAACCATAATCCTAACCCTAACATTAACCCTAACCCTAGCTCCTAACCCTAACCCTAGCTCCTAACCCTAACCCTAACCCTAAAACTAACCCTAGCTCCTAACCCTGAACCTAATTCTAACCCTAACATTAATTCTAACCTTAACTCTAAACGCCCTAGAAATAGCATTTGACCTTGTGGGCAGTGGTAGAAAAAGTACTCAATTGTCATACTTGAGTAAAAGTAAAGATACATTAATAGAAAATGACTCAAGTATCAGTGAAATACTACTTGAGTAAAAGTCTAAAAGTATTTGGTTTAAATATAGTATCAGAAGTAAATGGAATTGCTCAAATGTACTTAAGTATCAAAAGTAAAAGTAAAAGTATAAACCATTTAAAATTCCTTATATTAATCAACATTTTATTTTATTTATTTATTGGCGGATAGCCAGGGGCAGACTCCAACACTCAGACATAATTTTAAAACAAAGCATTTGTGTTTAGTGAGTCAGGAGGGATGACCAGTGATGTTCTCTTGATAAGTGTGTGAATTGGACCATTTTCCTGTCAAAAGTTATTTTGGGTGTCAGGGAAAATGTATGGAGTAAAAGTCCCGTGTAGCCCCGTGTAGCTCAGTTGGTAGAGCATGGCGCTTGCAATGCCAGGGTTGTGGGTTCGATTCCCACGGGGGGCCAGTATGAAAAAATAAATAATGTATGCACTAACTGTAAGTCGCTCTGGATAAGAGCGTCTGCTAAATGACTGAAAAGTACATAATTTTCTTTAGGAGTAAAAGTAAAAGTTGGCAAAAATATAAATAGTAAAGTAAAGTAAAGTACAGATACCCCCCAAAACTATTAAGTAGTACTTTAAAGTATTTTTACTTAAGTACTTTACACCACTGCTTGTGGGGACCAACAAAATGTCCCCAGTTGGTCAAATGTTGTTCATTTACTATTCTTGTGGGGACTTCTGGTCCCCACAAGTATAGTTAAACACGTCCACACACACGCACGCACAAGCACCCACACAACCACACTCCCTCCAACCCACCAGTCCCCATTTGTCCGCTTGAGAAAGGGCAAACGTTAGGTTATCAATAAATGTGCATTTTTGTGTGGGTGAACCCGAGCGCCCATCCTCCCCCTCTAAAATCCTGAGATGTCCCTTGTTGTACTAATCCAGTAATACTGTGGCCTAGTATGAGAGAGAGGGAGAGAGAGAGAGCGAGAGCGAGAAAGAGGGTGTGTGTGGGTGGACTTCTAAGCATGGCCAAAACATTAAACAGAACACCATGTGCTGACTGCCACCCTAAGCCTCTCCCCCTCTCACACCTCCACATGCATGACCGACACAACCAATGCCCCCCGCATTACAGCAGGTTAGCTTTTTTCCTAATGAATCTTATTCTGGAGGCAGCTCTGCAGAGTGGTCACTAGCTGACACAGCCACAAAGTCATTACATCGGATTTTAAACCCCAAAAAATAAACAAAGCAAATGTTTGTTTTCATGAATTTTTACAATTTAGCCAATTTTGACTTTGCAGCTGGCTCATCTAGCAGAAATTGCTCTGTTCTGCATCAAGGACAAGACTAATAAACGTCTACCTGCCACATTACATGGAAAATGAAAGGGTCCATTCCGGAAGTGTACTTAATCCAGAAAAGCAACAAAGAAAACTGTCACGTTATGCCCCTCTCGATGATAAACAAACAAAAATAAATGCATTGTAATGAATTTGAATTCTATGAATAATACATTTCCTGAGTTAATCACAACTTTCTCCTCCCCTGACAGCTGAGGTGTATCAGACCCAATGATGTGTATAAACCCTGGATGGCGGCAGGTACGCTAGCGGTTAAGAGAGTTGGGAAAGTAACTGAAAGGTTGTTGGTTTGAATCCCAGAGCCGACTAAAAATCTGTCGATGTGCCCTTGAGCAATGCACTTAACCCTAATTGCTCATGTAAGTTGCTCTGGATAAGAGTGTCTGCTAAATTACTAAAATAGTTCTGGTGATTTCACAAGCAACACATTTGACAAATGAAAAAAAAAAAGTATAAATACATTGTAAACCACTGAGGTGAATTCAGAATACATGTGCATTTTACAACTACATGTAAACCAATGACAGTCAATGCTGCTGCAGGTAATATTTTTTGTGTTTGCTTACACAAAATCGTGTGATTTGCTACACAAAGAACAACTTATAAAGCAACTGGTGATGATGGCAAAAAAAAACTATATGGAAGGGGAGAGAGGGTAGGAAAGGGATAGAAAAGGAAAAGGAGGTGGGTGGGTTACAAAGACAACCTAAACACTCATACAGTATAGCGCTTGAGCATGGACAAACTGCATCTGCCACACATCCTCCAATATGTTTCTCTCTCTCTTTCATTCCTTCTATCTCACACACACACACTGGATCATTTCTAATCCTGATCAGCTGAAACAGAAGATGTATGCCAGGGAATCATATGGAACTAACCACCCCCTCATCTCCCCACACACACACACACACACACTAGTACCATATACAGTTCAATGGCCCAGTGAAATAGTGATAGATTGCACGTTCTGCACAGGAGTCCCAGAGTATCTAAA